AATACAATGTATTAATACAGTGACTAAGTATAGACTGTGTTAGGTTTCAGTGTAATATGTTGTATTAATACAGTGATGTTACTGTGGACTGTAATATGAAGCAGTGTGATATGTTGTATTAATACAGTGACTAAGTATAGACTGTGTTAGGTTTCAGTGTAATATGTTGTATCAATACAGTGACTAAGTATAGACTGTGTTAGGTTTCAGTGTAATATGTTGTATTAATACAGCGATGTTACTGTGGACTGTAATATGAAGCAGTGTGATATGTTGTATTAATACAGTGACTAAGTATAGACTGTGTTAGGTTTCAGTGTAATATGTTGTATTAATACAGTGATGTTACTGTGGACTGTAATATGAAGCAGTGTAATATGTTGTATTAATACAGTGACTAAGTATAGACTGTTTCAGTTTTCAGTGTAATATGTTGTATTAATACAGTGATGTTACTGTGGACTGTAATAGGAATCAGTGTAATATGTTGTATTAATACAATGACTAAGTATAGACTGTATTAGGTTTCAGAGTAATATGTTGTATTAATACAGTGACTAAGTATAGACTGTATTCGGTTTCAGTGTAATATGTTGTATTAATACAGTGACTAAGTATAGACTGTATTAGGTTTCAGAGTAATATGTTGTATTAATACAGTGACTAAGTATAGACTGTATTAGGAATCAGTGTAATATGTTGTATCAATACAGTGACTAAGTATAGACTGTATTAGGAAGCAGTGTGATATGTTGTATTAATACAGTGACTAAGTATAGACTGTATTAGGTTTCAGAGTAATATGTTGTATTAATACACTGATGTTAATGTGGACGGTAATAAGAATCAGTGTAATATGTTATATTAATATAGCGATGTAACTATGGACTGTACCAATGTCACGTGATTATTGATAACATTACTTCTTAAGTCTTTATATTTATTTACAAACTAACATTGTAATACAAACACACAAATAGCATTTCTACTACTAATTATGATACACGAATCCGTAACATCACAATTTTATTAATTTGGCACATAGTTTAATATATATACTCATGATTTATACTTAATCATTGAACAAATACATTACTGTTTATTTATCTATCTATTTATTATGATATTTAGATGTGTGATGATATGTATAGCTTCGTACGGCGTCAGTTGTTTTCTTACGTGTAAAGAAAGTTAGAAATATGTTACACCATTGACGAAATATCATTTGTTAAATGTTCAAAACGATCTGCTTCATTTGAAAATGTTGCCAAAACAGTAAATAACGACTCAATAAATAAATGAATAAATAAATAAATAAATAATGCTATATAAGGCATTTCAATAAATCAAAAATAATCATTATTATCATATGAATTAGAAGAATATTACATATACATTAGCAATATACGTTGAGGCGTTTAGTTCAATCATCGTGAAGACATAATGCGATTTGAAGTCGCATTAAAAAAAATGTCCAGATTTTTATATTCCTGATTTGGTTGATTATCATTAACATATGATAAGTCATGTATGTACGTTCCAGTGCTTTCATTTGGTTATTTCGTTACTATCATAATTACAATCGGAAATCAAGGTTATCTCCCCTTGTCTTCATAGCGGATCTTGTTAATATATCTTAACTTATGGAAAAGTTTTAGTTTCGTTTGAGATTGATTAACATGTAGCACTGGATAACCCCTGACTTGTTTTAGTATATTTCATTGGCCAGACATCAGGCACGACACATAGCTTTTCCATTACCAAAGACAAGCTATTTTTAGCTTCGAATTTTGTTGTCTTTACTTAACCGAATGAAGACATTCAGGATATTTTTCAGTTTTTAAACTGCTAACCAGATATAATATATGAATCAGTGATCATATATGTTTATCAATGCTAAAATCATGTGCAGGACTCAATATCATCGGCTTGATATAGAGAAGTCCATGGAAGTGAACGTAATTCAGATTTAAAGTTCATATATTTGAAGAAAAACAAAATTCACGCAGCATAATCTTAAGATCCTAAATATCAAATACTTATTCAAATGTATATAGAAAAACATTTTTCACTTAATAGTGACGTCAACATTTAAAATTTATGTTATTTATAGATAAAATCTTGACACATCTTCAGATATATATAAAGACATGTCCATTTAACTCTTGTAACGTATTGAAGTAAAACAAGACAAACTTAAGCACATCTATAGCTTGAGTCAAAGAAAGTAGATTGTATCATTCTGAACCATATATAACCTATGTTTACTATAAAATAAAAAAAAATCATTAAGTAAACAAATTGATATGAGAAAATGAAAGTTACAATTTAAATTGAATGAATTTTTAAAGTTGGGGTTTAAGATGGTAGAAAAAAACGAGTGATTTATCAATTACGTATGACTTTAAACATAGTGTTAGAATTGCCTGTGGCTGTAAAATAAATCTACAGAACAGAGATACATATCCGGATGATTTAAATAGGCAAAATGCTAATTTCCTTTCAAATATCATGATAAATGTTAAGAAAGAATTTTTCTTTATGTGTAATCTGTCATAATAAGTAAACTTTACAATGTCTTCGATGTTCGTATCGTCTAAAATAGAATATTCAAATGTCATTAAGCGAATAATGATGTAACAATTCATTTTATATCATTCCACATTTATTATAAGGGGTCAAGTTTTAAGATATATTGGCATACGCTTGGTATATCATTCACTGGAAATTTATATCATCCACGGTTTTGAACTTGATCACCTGAATTGTAAGAGAATACATTTTAGAGTTAATATTGATTTAAAGCTTTTCGCACTAAAAATATTGTACTTAAAATCGATTGCGCTAATTTACATTTGGTTAACGTGCCATTGTGCTTTTTGGATGTGCTAATTCATCATCACGCTAATTAAAAAAAAAAAAAAAAAATATTGCATCAAAATTTGATTGTGGCAAATTAAGTACGCTTACAGTATCACAAGACTTATATGTAATTTACATACATACCCGTCTCTATGACAACCATCGACGAAATTATTTCGATTTTATTTCATTATATCTTTTCAATATGACTTTATTGCTGTAAAGAATATTTAATAAATAAATAAATAAGTAAATGAATAAAAAATAAATGAAATAAAATAAATCAATGCATTGTTTATCGGATGCATTCCTAACATAATACTACTGATGAATTGTACGAACGAACAGATTTGAGAACGTAAGTACCTGGTAAAGTTGTATATATAACTGTTCTGGCTAAAGTGAAGTAAATAAAGTAACATGATAATGGATTCGTAAATATGTTCTTAATGTAAATAAAACTAGTAATATTAAACCCATCGCATCGTGGATGGTATAGGTAACTTTCGTAACACTTTGTTTCTAGGGATGACAAATATGGAACATATCAAAACACCCAACAGTAAGTAACAGGCTAAATCCGGAATTATATGATATTCATGCAAAGATAATTGAACTGGCAACGGTAATATGTAATAATGGTCGGGTGGCGCAGCCGACCGGGGTTCGATTCCCGTCACGGACGTGAAAAGGTCCCGACCACGTGGGTTTTCCCCGGGTCCTCCCACAAGAAGACCCCTCGCGCGCCTACATCCGGGCCAACAAGAGTGATTAGTAGAAGTTGACATAACTTGTTTCGCAATTGTTGTAAAATAAATAAAGTTTATAATATATTATTAATATGTAACAAATTTATTATACAAATATAATATATTTATGTTTTACATGTTGCGTGATGATAGCGTGAAATTGATTGTCTATGACACCCTTTATAATGTATGTAGATAATTATTTTAGGTCAGTAGAATCCTAAGTAATTTAGAACACACGTGATTAATTGTATTTCAATGTAAGATATTTAAATCAAAAAGATTTTTCCCTTTCATGGGATAAAATTCAGATCAGCTTTATAATTATATATACATAATGATATGAGGCAGTAATGAGTTAAAGCTGAACAATTCTTTTCGTGCCTATGTTTGCTATTTCTATCGTCATCCATCATCTCGTTTACGACGTATTTTTTGTGACAACAATCTTGATAGAATAGTTAGGTATCTATCTTATTGTCTTGTTAAAGTAGGTTTTATTGTTCGTAACACAAAAGATTGACTGCGTGTTAGGTTCAGGGTCAAACTGTTATTAAGTAAATACTCGTATTGATTTTAAATATATGGATGCAGAAGTTTACATCCTACCATAGAATATTTACAAAATGCAAATGTTTTTTTATTATTATTTTGAGTTCAATATTAATTGCTAACAAAATGAATCATAGATATACTTAAAAAATTAAAACCACTGACTGTTAGCTCAGAATGTGATTTTTGTTACAGTACGGATCTACTTTTAACAAACTGTTAGCGTCCAACCATACGTTTAGGAATTACCAAGCTTATCAGTTTTAAAGAAAACCGTAGATTTGCCATTATAAAGACTTGTAGCAAAAAACAATTTCGATTTAAGTCAATCATTTAACTTACAATTATCAGAAATTAATATAAAATCATGGTCGAAAGGCAAGAAAATCAAAATTCATGTCAACATATGACGTAAACATATGACGTCATATGGTCATTTCGCTGTTATTAGCTGTTTGTCAATTGAAAACTTGTATGTCCGAAACGTCTTGTTGTAGAACAGCTATAATTTCTTAAACACTTTTTCATAAACTTTTTTTTTTCTAAAATGGGAGACGTAGAAAATTATTTTATAAATCTTTTGTACAATCTAGGTATTTTTCAAACATATATTGATTTTTTTTCAGGATGAGTAAAACGAGCGTGATTTATAATTACGCGTTTTGTACTAAATTTATGTAGCTATAATGTAATTTTAATTTCCGTTTTCATAAATGGTAAGTCTCACGTTATCTCGTGCAAAATGTGTTTGACCAATTCAATTAAATTAACATCTGTACTTGAACATATACTTGTGTCCATGATCGTTGTTAATGTCACTTCCTCTTCCTGTTGCAGTCCAGTCTGGGATGACGCCTCTATTGGTGGCTGTCAACAAAGGCGACGCCGCGGTAACACGTGCCCTTATCTCACATGGATGCCGGATGGATGTTCGTGGCAGGATTACGCGAAGACCCGATGAGGAAGTGTACATGGACCCATTCGAGTTGGCAATCGAGAACGCGTCTTGGGATCTCGTGAAGTACATGGTGTCAGCAGGTTACCACCCTTCAAACCTCGCTTATCTGCGATCTTGTAGTCCAGCCATTGCACTTCCAACCTCACTCCGTATCAATAAGGAAATGTTGGTCTTCCTCAGGAAGGCTGCCTCCCAACCAACCAGCCTGTTCCAGTCAACTTTACTGATGATCTGGCGCACACTTGGTTCGGATCTACCAAGCAAAGTTCGCTTGTTATCTCTTCCATCCTCTCTGAAGTGTTTAATAATGTCAGAGGCGTTTTTGTCAAAATATTAATAAATTATTATTTCTCAAAATGATTATGTTTTCAATTACAACCTTTTGCACATGAGAAATGCTGGATCTGACTAATTATGAAACTATTCAGAAAATATAAAATTGTCTTCTACTCCGATCCTGTACCTCAACAATCGCTGTATATTGCACCACAAGCAGAAATCAATACAATTTACACATTTTGTCTGGATAAAATGCATTTCAATATAGAACATCAAAAAATACGAACATGTCCACATAATAATAATCAAAACTCAACTTCAATAAAACTAGGGCAAAATATGATCAAAGGAGAGATTTACACAGGGACACTTGAAAAAGTACAAAGAGAATAAGACCAGGTGTTACGGAAGAATGAGTGTCGTCTTCTTCATCGATGACACCCGCCAATAAAACTTGGTCAATCCAAGTAAGCACTGGCACGTTCTCAATTGGAAACAAGGAACTTAACAATGGAACCAACAGGCAAACTAACGAGCATCAAATGAAGCGATGTCGTGTGAACACTTGTGAAAGTAGATGTTTTCCAGCAGTCCAAGGATATGTACTAGCACGCTTGTATAAAATGAAGGGCATCAACTTAATTGTTTTTTTTTTAAATCTTTGTCATCATGTATTACTACCTCTGTATTCTTTAAATTCAATACGTGCACAACACTACAATAAGATCTAAGCCATTAATTAGACGGAAGCACGTTGCTGTCGTGCGTATTGGCGAAAAAAAACCTATTGGACCAATGCAAGTCACCATGGAGCTGAACATATTCATTATATGAATTAATTTTTCACTTTGATTCACTTTGACTAATTCAAACTCAGTATGTGATATGTTGAACCATTTTGGTAACATTCGAAGTTTTTTCCATGTAGAACATCTTTCTATTATCAAAAAGGAGGCTGACTTTGACATGGGGACTAAAACCTATGTTGCATTTTGTCTTTTGGAATAAAAACTGGTCTGTTTTATACATTGATTTACATGTTTATACTGCGGTCTACTTTCGTCGTGATTTACTGGCACTTTATTGTAATTCATTTATGTATTGATCTTGTTCGGCATGTGATAAGGTATTCCAGCATTGACATTGTTTTTGGTAGGTCGATACTATGGTTTTTTGACCTATGTATTGACGATATGGTATATTTTTCTCTGCGTTTTGACGCTGAATCGAAAATTTGATGCGTTGCTATTTTCGTATATGCTAAGTTTTATTCTGAAGGCGTTGTACGTATATCTAGAGGTGAACGGTGTCGTAAAACAAATTTTTCATTTTGACGCTGTGTTGAATATTAGCATTACCTGTTGACGCTGTGGTATATTTTATCTTTGTTGGTTTTTGTATAGTATTAATCTGTTTATGTGATGAGAATGAGTTTTCCATACTTTGCAACTCTGCTGGTACCAGACTTTCCTGAAAGACACGATAAAACACACTGAAAGGGAGATAATCTTGTAAAACCCAATAAAAGATTTAACTCATTAGCGGATCACGTGACGATAGACAGTTACACTATCATCACTAATTAGATGTCAACTTAACGGACAAACTTCAAAGAAAACGTTACGTATCCGCCTTCTTTTGTCTTAAATGTCATGCCATAAATCACACGGTTAAGTACAGGTGAAATGGCGACCTGAGAAACAGACATGACAGTGTGACAAACATATGAGATATAAATCCCAAGTAAACAGCTAGAGGGACATACGTATTTACATTTTTGTTATTTACTCCTAAAACACGGAGACATATTTCTACCATTCATTCATCTTCTTTAAGGCGAACTTGATTCTGTAAAACTTTTTATTGACATTTTCTGTGCTGAAGATCAGACATAACTGATTATCTTTAATGACACGTAAAGTGGGGTGTTATTGATAATTACATACGTAATTTCCTCTATATATACATATGCAAAAATGCACGTATTAGAAGAATCAAATGAATGTATAAAGTACGTTTATCATAAAAAATTGTACTTTTTCAAGATTGAAAAAAATAAATTATGAAAATGTAACACTTTTTAGCAACGAAGTTTAATTATGTTAAACTATTCCGATAATTGTCAGTTTCATTTTTGCTGATCCCATAAACATGATTGAAAACTGACATTCTCATCTTTAAAAAAACGATTTTATGGGAAAATTTAAATTTTCAAAGTCATTTAACAACTTATTAGTTTGTTACTTGAAAGGCTTTACGATGTAATGAAGATAAACGACACATTAGTTACAGGTGATTTGTAAAATCGAAGAAAAAAAAACAAAAACAAAAAACAAAAAAAATCCGATGACAATGACGCAATCGAAAGAAGATCACTCGAAGGCGGTGAAATAATGGCTATATATTTAGAAACACTAATTGTGAAAATAATTCTTTGCGATTGATCATGTGTAACAGTAGAAAGTGACTCATATACCTAAAACTGCATGTCACAGTGTCAGTGTCCCCGTTTAAAATCATGATGGATTGTAGTCATTAAATGGTCTTTATATATATATCTAAGGTGTGTTGAATAGGTCAATCTGTCAGAAAACGTCGAATTATACACAACAATGCATTTGTATTAGTTCGAAAGGTACAACAAATCATTAAATTTTGATACATTAATAGGCATAATCATTATCACAGTCGATATCAGAACAATTACTTATCATTGAGGGAAAAAAAAGAAGAAAAAAACGACATATCAACAGAATATTAAATCCAACTACAATTTGATGAAAATAGGTTAGATATATGAAACATAGATAGATTTACAGGGAAAATACTGAAACAGCACAATAAATAACCGTGAATCATGCCCACATCCAGTTGAATATATTTATATTTGTGGACTCATAATTAATATTGACTTCGATACAAAAGCGCAAGTTACATGTCTTATCACGAACTGGAGATATAGGGTTATAAACTACATGTACCGGCCTTTTATATCTAGCTATGCTTATCTATTTGTCAACTGAGAGGGAATGGGTATATATTGAATCGACTGCTAAAAGCAAGCAGGGAAGAAAGATACTACTATTTAGAAAGGGAAAGTCCACACCTGGTAAATAGAAATCTTCAGTGTGTATAAACGATGTACATAGTAAAAAATATTGGATATAAAAATCGATTTATCTAAAAGTAAAATGGAAGGCATTAGCAAGGTCTTTATGATATGTTTTGATAAGTTAAGTCTCGTTTGAAAACCAAAATATGTACACAAGACGAGTAAAGCAAGCAATTTGTGTGATTACGTCAGATGAATGTTAATGGAATGACTTAACCGCTATTAACGAATCAAATATGTTGCGTTATTAAACAATGTAATTTATATTCAGAAATATTTCACATACGAAAACATAATCATCAATATTTGTGACATAAAGAACTTAATTGACAAGTCAAAATTTAAACAGAAATGTCTGCTTAAAGAAATTATAGCTATATGTAGATAGGATCAGTAGACTAATGTCTAGACCGCAGACTCAAACAGGAACCGAACCCGAGTAAAAAACGCAAAAATGATTCCTTCTTTTAAAAATATAGTTCTTTGATAAAGGAATCATTTAAATCAAATAAAAGCATGGAACACTTATTGATTCAACCACGAGTGACTGATTTATACAAACGTGTCGCTCTTCAGTGAACATTTACTGTTAGACATGTCAAAATGTGTGACAAGTTCAGCTCACGCCAGGGTAATCTGACATGCCAGCTTTCATCTCAACATGATCTGCTTGCATTTGAATTACAAACTGACAAGATAAAGAGGTAGTGTTTCGTTACTCATTCCTGGAATGTTTACTCGAATTGTGAATCCTTCACTCCCACTCATCTCTCTCACGACCAGCTAAAGACTGGTCTAGTTTATTTTCATTGCAATGAGGTGATCTATAGAAATGGGCAAGGGCAGGATGAAGAAGAATACAGAACTGTATCACACATGAATATATGTAAACACAATTAGGAAAAGATATATATAAGGGAATATACTATATAGATAAAATGTATAGAATATAGAGTGTGAAATCAGATATTTTCTTTCGAACTAAATTTCCATAAAATACTACTCCTTTGAAGCATTTCATGGATGAATGAGATATCGCAACAATATGCTTGTACTAATTTTAACAGTCCCAGGACATATGAATAAGTTAATTAAGAATTTCTACGAAAAACCCAACGAAAATTAATGATTTAAAAGTAAATAAAATTGATCGCCACAGATAGATGGATTCATATAATGTAGGTACACATTAATTTGAAAAGACACACAAATGATAAAAAAACTTAAATTGTCAATGTAACGAGACATGTCGGAAATCTTTCGTCTTGGGTTAGATAACACATTTCAAAACAACTAAGATTTAGGCTAAGTATGTGCATGGGTTGATATCTACTACCTAATTTGCATTTTTACGAAACTTGACAGGAAATTAAGTAAAACAACTTTAAAATGGCTGAAAATATTGATTAAATTTTAAAATAAGTGAAGATCACGGAACATCTCAAATATCACCATTCGCTAGTTAATAAGAAATAATTGTTTAATTTTTGTTTTGCAATATTAACTCGTTACCGTTTTTTAATTTAATTTTTTGTTTGTTTTTTGTTTTGTTTTTTGTTGTTTTTCGTGTTGTTATTATTGTTTTGCTTTGTTTTTATTTTCTTCATTCATTTTTTCCAATTGATATAATCCACTTACTTTTGTTCCTTAATTATCTTTTACATGCTCGCGTACATTCAAGTCTAGCCCAAATTCTATGCACGCATCTAGTGGTTTGATTATCCCATCCTTCCATATCTGAGATTTATGACCCGTACGTGGTCCTATTGGATATCTGTAATATCATTGTTTAATGTGGTTTATGAATGATTCTATAAATGACTTTTACATGACTTTAATACATTTCTTTGCAATATCGTTTTAATTAGTATTCACTTTGTGTGTAATACGCACTCGTTGACGATATATCTGTCAGAGCATAGCTAATTAAATAGTTTACCGTGATTTTGGGTTTTGGGATACAGGTGCAACAAGCAAAATATATATGAGGATAGCCATTTTGATTTTATTACAAGAAACAAAATGGCAGGTTTTTTATGGCCATAGGTATCTCTCATCATCAGTTTGAGGTGACAAAATGACAGAGTATACCAAGTATCATCTTTGTGAGTCGGAAAATTAGTATAGCTTAGGGTGACAGATTACAAGTAACATTCCAGCGTGAAGAGGTATATAAAATCAACATAACACATACGATGGATATATATCAGAGTAAACATTTCCCGTACTTTTACAGATTCCGAGTGTGTATACATTTATAGGTTAATGTTCCTACTGACCTTTACGAGATTATTTTCGATTTTGATGTGTAAACATGCACACTTTCGTCCTCTCCACAATTCTTTGACGAATTGTTTAGCTTGTTTATATACTTTCATACTCTTGATAATTTCTGTAACTTAACACATCCGATTCTTCATATTTTAATGTCACTTGTATTTTGATATAAAAAGTACCAGAGTGTGCATAAAAGTGGAGAACTTGTCCAAGTGAGAGTGGAACGTCCATGTTCGCGTTAGACGGCGTACCGGCAACAGATGTTTGCACAATAGAACGACGACATCCCTGCCGACCATAAAAGCGTCATGTGTTGACTAGAAGGCACAAGCAAGCCAGACTACAATGGTAAAGTGATTACCGGATATGGAATGTTAGATTTTGGCGAAGAGTCCACTTGACTGATGATAGCCGCTTCGCACTTAGTCCGACAGACGACAGGGTCTGTGTTTGGAGACCACGAAAATGAAGTATACCATCAGAATCATATTCTAAGCACATCAGCTTTTGATCGTGTTGACTGTTTTGCGAATGCCTTTTTATAAATGGACAGAAGTGCCGTGATCTCATCCTTCGACCTTCAGTTGTTTTGCATTTTGATGCCCATTCATTGGCAGATCGACCTATCCTAATGGATGAAGATGCAAGACTATCTCCAATAAGAAGTGAAAGAAACGTTCCCATGGCTTGAAGTATTACCACAAATGAACCTATATGAGCATGTGTGGAACTATTTCGGGATCCAAAGAGTCAAACAATTGGATAATTACGGGCTGCATTTACGAAGGTTTCCTCAAAACAAACTTCGACAGATGGTTACTGTTTTCTGTTTTGGGACTAGATGCACAATATTTGTACCATAAACATGGTGGCTATACCACGATTGTCATGTTCATACCCAATAGAACTCAATGATTACTTACTCTCTTTGATTAAGTAATATGTTTTGGTGATTTTATGACGTATCTGTTGGTGAGAGACAATTAATACCGATGATAAAAGATACAGCTTTCCCACTTTCCTAATGACTGTGTATAGCTTTGTTAGATGTCTAATAGTCATTCCTATATACTGTGTTAAATTGTCTTTGAATATTTTTATATAGGTGGTCCTTAACGTATGGCTAGGATTATGTAATTAATTTCCATGCAATACCTCCTAATTAAATCTGGAAATACATCTATAAAAGGAAATATAACTGATTGATAAGAAATAAAACAGAAATAAGAAATAATGCAGTGATTGTTTTTAAGTCATAAGTAATTCATTATCACGAATAAAAAATGAAAAGAGTATTAATTCATATATATAATACTAAACTGCATATATTTTATGTTTAATGTCAAAATTATAATCATACTATGATACTTGTATGAATAGGGAAATATTCAACATCGAAATTGAATTTAATGAGCATATTAGTATACTAAAACACCATTGCTATGATGGAAAGCAATGCATCAAAACGTCATCATTGTAAGGAATTACGTACATGGAGTTCAAGAAACGTGAACAAATTTCCAAACTTACGACATTTCTAAACACAGCCATTTATATATTAAAGTAAATTCATTCTTTAACAAAATCTTAGGAAACACAAGCGTTAAACGTTATCAACAGTATTTGAAAGAGCCACTGATATATTTGAAGTTATAATATTCCAAGATAAAAATATCCAACACAATAACTTCAAACATCGGTTAAGGAAGATGTGTATATTTCCCTGTCCTTGTACGATATGAAGTAAGATGTGTTCCGTGATTGCTTTGTATTATCGGTATTATTTAAAATGTTCTTATTTTAGAATCTTGACAGGTGCTTGTCAGCATGTTCTTTTTTTTTGGTCTGATCTGATCACCATCTTGTCCCACAAAACGATTTGAATATAAAGGTTGTACGAAAGACACGCAGGTGAATAGCGCTTTTTAATACAAATTTAGAAAAGCTACAGTGTTGAACCTAGCTATGAATTAAATTACATCATACAGGTGTTTAGAACTTCTAGGCATCGTCAGTAATGCTAAGGGCCTACATGTTGAAGCCTCAGAGGCGACTGAGGAAAATCCGAGATGGTCGAAAGAAATGTCGAGATGGTGTGGTGCACTAGTCCCAAATTTGGTTATTTTCGTAAATTGCATATATCTGAGAACGACAGGTACACGTGTTTATTCTGGACCGTCCCACGAATAAATTAAAAGATGGCATGAAGGTTACGGCAAACATCATGTTCTTTCGACTATTTGTCTGTCTTTATCATGCTTTTTTGTGTCTTGAGAGTTTTCTTCGTTGACGTCGTACATTTTTTATTTATAGATATTACGCATTATTTGGAAGAATCAATGCAGAATAAAATTGTATCAGTATAGGAAAATCGGGCAATTGTTTTGTTATAAAGATGATAAACAACGTGATATGATATTAAAATCCTCTTCATAATGAATAATTTATCAAATCTACGTTATTGTAGGATGTTTTTTGTTATTTTCAATGGCGGTTATCAAAATCACGAAATTAAGTTAATTAATCAAAATAAATCGATTTTTGTTTCTTCTCTCAGTATTGATTTTATTTTGGCACCGCTATTGTGTGATTTATGATGTGAAATTAGTCGTTCTTCAAAAAGAATAATGATAAAAGCCTTCTTTTATTAGGATTATTACCATTATTATGTGCATAATCAAATTTAATAAAGCTAGGGAAAAAAGAATAAAGGAGAAACTTGCAAATTATTTGAAGACAAAGTCCAATAGTGGCGGATGAGTAGACGTCTTCCCTTTCATCGACGACTCATACCATGTAAGTCTTGGTCAGTTCAAGTAACGTTATGGTCACGAACAAGACCACGGTAAGCAACATCGGATCTAACAGCATCAAATAGATACAACTTCTTATCACATAAGGAAAAGACATAAGGAGATAGAGGTAAGTTAACTGTACGCCGATCAGTGATGTGAATTCCATAACAAAATGAGATATCTTGTTGTTCAAATTAATTATTGAATTAACATCAAACCTAAATTAATGTTTTAAGAAAATTACAAAGTTTATTTGTTTCTAGTTAATTTTGGAGACGTAAGCGAAAAAATATATAAACTTTTCGTCTTGTGATTTCTTCATCACATGAAACTGAGGCGGCAGTAAAAATAATGTATTTACTGGCTTCATTTCTATTAAATTTTCATGGTTTTCTGTTGTTTATTTTGTTCAGTACACGAAAATGGCAGGCTACCAACTACTAACGAGTATGCAAAAGCGACAAGAAACAAAAAGAAACCTCTTACTCAAATCCAATCAAATAACAGTAAGCTACAGGGAAGATATTCATGGAGACCCTATAGAAAGTACAAGGGTTGTAAGACATGTGTTCCAGAGGAATAAACAAAGAGTACAAAAGAAAAGTATTGACACACTCGGACATACTAGTGACTGATGGTAATGGAAACTTTGAAATAGACTATAATCCCCAGTCATGTCATACCACATCACTTGCAGATTAAGAGGGCGTTTAAACAATCAAAAAACCACACACAAACATTAATTAATGACATGCGGACAATCATCAAGGCGACAAATTAGATGGGGATATAACTATGTAGAATTAATCGAATTTTAACACTCGATCCCTGTAAGAAAACCACACAGTCACAACAGTTAATTTCACTGAACTGTGCTAATGTATTACGGTATACTTCACAGCGACACGAAGCTATTGTAACAATACAATCACTGTCAGTATGCTAATTATCTCATCGCTTGGTGACAGATAAGGAGGAAGGTAAGGATAGCAAATTCTTTAGTCAAGAGTGAACTACCAACCGTGCCTCACTAGACTGCCCTGGCATGATGAGGCTCTTTATCGTAACACTCTGTCTCGGTAAGTGTTCGTTTATGTTATTATTAATTTCATTTGATATTGAATATCCAAGATATTTTGCATTAATTGCAAAGTTTGAATTTTTTGAAACAAAGGAATGATTTTTTCTTCATATCCCACAGATGTTAAATCCCCGCATGAACTTACGAAATACTATGAATTGTATTTTCTTCCGCAATGGTTAAGTCATAACTAAAATCGTAACGTTATTAAGTCAGTTATTAGATGTTTAAAACACGCTTTAAAATTACTTTTGTTGGGGAATATAAAAAACTAATTTTATGTACTTTCAATCATTTTATATTTCATTCAGTCTTCTCTCTGGATAATAGTACAGTGACAATTAAGCATTTAATGATAGGATAACGAAAGCCGAGTATGTATGATTTTGAATTAAAATGAAAATTACTTTATGAATTAAGAATAAAAAAAAATCTTGGACTTTAGAAATAATAATAATACCATTTTCCCCCCGCGGCCGATAAACAAAATAAATAAAAACATGGTTTCGGAAGGTACATCAAACAATATGTCGAAATACAATGAATAAAATGGATGTATGATAAAAAATAAAACAAAATCTAAATCAAATGAAAAAGTTAGAAAAAGGAATTATCATCAGGTGAATATATATGTATAGGGGATCAATCACGATGAAGTAGCACCGACATAAATTGAGGCTATCATAAATATTTTTTATTAAGTCGAAGTGTTCCAAATAAGTGCAAAAATAAATTCCATTTCAGGAATAAACATATGGAAAATGTCTTTGTCAAGAAAATTTGAATTAATAGTATTGAGATGCATTTTGAATCATAAACATTACCGTAATCATAAGAAGGAAAATAGTAAACACATTGCAAAAGTGATGCATGGATATATGCTACATGAATTGTTATTTTCAATGTTATTGTAGTTAATTTCAAGAGATTATTTTGTCACTTTTCCAGGATGAAATCAAATTGGAAAATCTTAAATAATTCATTGTAAAACCATACTTTATTCCATGATTTCCCTAGACATTTACATGTTTATTATATCACTTTTGAGCAAATTATATCATTTAATAAAACAAACTTTTACAATAAATGCAAATAAAGCTTCTCTTCCAAGTCATTGAAAATGATGTCACACTAACATGCTCTGCTCCGAAGATTGCTCAAAGCAAATACGTGTGGATAACATCTATTTGGAATGGGTTAGAGTATAGCCAAATAATGAACCAGCTGTTTTGTACCGCTAGTTCTCGTCATTGATGTCTTTAGTTTGAAATCTAGAAAGCGCGGCGAAAATCAAAATTGAACGAAAGAAATGGCAAAATTCGAACGGGGATATGTACTAGAGATATAATTTAATTAATATCGTAATTGTCACTTATCTGTGATTTATATCTTCTCAGAAATATGTATGTGGAATATATGACTTTAGGTAAACAAACCAAGTCTGACTGACGATCGAGAATTAGCAATCCTTGATAGTTGCAGAAACAAGAAGTAGCGTGTTTGGGTTATAGATCCTAGACATTCTAGGCAAAGTTATACTCTTATCAAAGCGTTGTTCATAGATGAAAACAAAACTCATTGAATTGTGACTAGTTGGACAGGTAACCACGAGTGGCCACATTATACTGATACTTTGACCTTACAACTTTGACATGCAGTTACACTACATAGTCAACATTTATGTTTAAATGTTCCTAGCATCTCACATTGGCAGAATAATGTAAATTTATGTCTAAAACACAGTCGAGAAATAAGAAAATTTCAAATAGTGTTACGGTTCAGAATATTCACATGTACTTGATTTGGCATTTCTTTCGATAACATTGAGTTTCCTCGGTTTCGTCTTAGGTTTACACATTTAGACACTAAGCATCATTGACGAGTCCTAGAGGGGCGAAACAGCTGTATGGCGCACTTTATTTGTAAATTCGTATAAAAAGGTGTAATCCTCTAGTGGTTCCATTTTGCGATCATATTGAATGTGATATTTTTGTTTGAATTGCTGCAGATGTAGTTCTGTTACTTTTACAGCGTTGAAAGTGAGTGGCCAAGAAATCAACTATGTAAGGCCAGCACTGACATCTGCAGTTTCACCTTTAAGATTTCCTGGCTTCACAACTATCGATTCTCCATCATTCTCATTAGTTCCCCGACGAGGACAAAGCTTCGCTACACAATTTCAGGCATATCAAAATGGCAACATGCAACTTCAACATTCACCAATTAGTCAACGCATGTCCGTATTCTCTACAAATCCAACAATATTTCCTTACCTTGCAAGACCGCGTGTTCACGGATTCATGGCACAGAATGTTCCGGGATTACAATCCAGCACAAACGTACAGTTTCCTGCAGTAAATGCCAGGGCTATACCACCTACTCAGAATGGCGGTATGTGGAGAGTAGCCATCCCGACCAACTTGAGGAATGCTATTCAAGGCACATCATTGACCGGTGAAGCAAGCCAATCTCAATCCGTATCGACATTACAAGGACTTGCATCTGGATCAGAAATTTCTGGTCAGATCGCTGAACAGTCAAGAATAGATTCAGACAACGACTTGACACAAGGGAAGGAAATAAAAAGTTTGGACAAGGAAGCTAATGCACATGTCGCTAGTCGATCGAGTACAGCCATGAAGATTGTTAAACCTCAAGGTATGGCAAATGTATTTTCAATGATTGCTTAGTATTTGGTGTCATGATGTCTTTTTCATTGTAGTCAGAATCGGCCATATATTGCCTGTACAACTTCTAATAGACAGCAAATGTGTCCCTTTTTCAACGCTACTGTAACAGCCATATGTCACGACGATATATAAGTGCAACAAATAGTATATAGCACTAAGACATTAAATCGGTCTGCATCCCGCTACAACATTTACACATAGGAACTAGTCAAAAATCATCTCTGACATATTCTTAACAAACAAGGATTGTATATATTTCTTCCCAAAATTAACATTATCGAAAAGTCGATGATCAGCCGAACAGAGGATACTTCTTTGTCTGACACTGGATATATAAAATGTTATGGGGACATTACTGATACTCCTCCCTTTCACACTAATAGGGCTCCCAGAATAATGATAAAAAAAATAACACAATAACTTTATGTAGTGTCAAATTCAGAATAGAGGTCTGTTCATTCAGTGCAATAGACTTGATGTGGATAAAAATGGAAAGAATAAAGCAGTAAAGCAGTCAATGACGAGAGTCTAAAACTAATGACGCAGGTTATAACAAAAGTCACTTTGCAATTTTGTTGGTCGTTATGCTTTTCGTTGATTGTAGTAATATGCAAAAACATTGCAAATTCAACAACAATCTTGAAATCTAGGAAGGCGGTGTCACGTTAGAGTGACTATCATTATATATAGCAAGATTCTGCTCAACGGTCCGTCATGACTGAAAGCTTATACAGAAGCTATACATATTTATATACCCTATTAGGAACTGGACAAATTCTATGATAATGGTAGCATCTCAGTCTCCGATGTTCCTATTCCAATACATCATACATGTATAATGTCATTTGCTACATCTGTTCATGGGTACAATATACCAGGATGTGTACTGAGACTACGTTATATAGATAAAACTATTAATAAATTAATTCTTTGCGTCAAAACAATTTACAAACTCTGCAGCGACTAAATGTAGATAATCTTAGATAATTCTTGCTCTTCATCTCTGTATAAGTGAAGTCCAGCCGATCACAAAGTAAAGACAATTACAGCACAATCAAAAATATCGTCAACTCTGTCCATTGATATGAATATGATATCATGTTAGATTTCATAGAAAATTATACCAAAGAGTCGGTGAAACGAGGGCAGGCAACGCTAGGTTTATTTTTCTCCAATAACTTGATCTTTGTCTACAAACATTATTGCATTTCCTGTCTACAAAAATAACTGGGCTTAATCGATGTTGATGGAAACCATACCTACACATTATATAGTCTTTCAAAAAAGGAGCATTATTGGCAGATAATGCATTAGTATTTTAATTATTGAGATTGTACATCAATTTTAAGAATATGTATCCTAATAGTTATACTGAATTACCAAACTTTACAAGAATCCATATCAACAGCGTTATTATTGCTAGCTCGTTTAATTATTCGACAAAAATGTTTTCTGTTCGTTCAAAAAGGGGAATTAATGGTATTTTGATTTTACAGAACAACAAGTTTTTGACCAACCTTCTTCACTTTCTTCTTAATAGTATTTCTACAATAAGAACATTTACACCTCGTTCACTGTCATATCTCATTTGAAGCCTAAGGGATATGTTCGTTTTCTTATATTGAGAGCGTTCCTTTAAAAGAAAGATGGACGGCGGTACATCTGTATAGTTTTAAAGTCCGTGTACTTATCCTGTAGACTCCGTATAAAGCTGTCTTTTGTTCAATTTTTACCATCTTTTCATCTGAATTTGAGTTTGATTAAAATTCTGTTGGCATGTTGGCATTTTCTTTGCTGTTTTACATCTAAATTAATTTTCATCTTGAAAGAATTAACTAGAAGTCAGGTTAATTTTCTTACAGTCATAGATTTGTAAGAAAATTTACGGAAATTTAAAACAATACCACTGGATGTAATTGGGTATTTGAAAAGGTCCATAATAAGACTATCCATACTGATTGACAACCCTGCTTTCTCTTTTCTTTCATAATACAGAAAGACCACTAATTTTGAAACCAATTGTTATAATTATATTGTGCATTAAATGATAAAGACGGGCAGTAGGACGAATAGAAAATTTCATGCTAGACCGATTTTAGTATATTGTAAGAGTTAGTTTAGGTCATGTATAACAAGGAAATGAAACACTTATAATTAAACAGGAAACTAGTAAAACATAATTAAATGCGATAAAAGTCAATTAAAATGGTTGTTAAATAAGTGAATGCTAGTCGCTGGTTGCTTAGAATGAGAATATCTAAATTAAAAAGAATTAAAACTCAGTAAATCTGTCATTAATCAACAACTGCACATCATTTATACATTGACATGGTTATATCTGAGAGCCAATGAATCAAATTTACTAATATTGATTTATGTTTTTCCGCTTCCTACATACGTGTATGGGAATGTAATTAATAACATCATCAAAATCAAACAGCGGGGATCAATCATTCTTATATAAATCAGTTCTAGTGAACATAAGTCACGGTGCATCTGACTTAATTAAACTTAGCAACTGTTACCATTGTGCAGTTTTGCGTCACAAGTCCGCAAAATAAGGCTACAATTAACGTTAAGCGCCCTGCTGAATGACATATCCTCAACCACTATTAACTTACATTTGTCATCAAATATTCAAATCATGTTTAATATATATTACTGCTTTCATGCTCCAAAGCAAATGAAATTAATTGCCAATACTAAAACATCAAAGTAGAGAAAAACGCTGACAAATAAAACTGACCTAGTTCATTATATGACTTACTGTTGACATGTTTCATAAAATAAAACGATGGTTCTAAATATAGGTAAATGACTTGAAATACTGGCGATAACAGACGTGTTACTGTGGTCAAATATGGTGGCATTTGTCAAATTATGCTTGCGCTCCCTTTCATGGGGTCCAAATATTATTTAAGAGAGCAGAATTAAAACATAAAAGTTGTAATATCATATTCTAGATTTATTACTAGAGTAGGACTCATTTGGGATGATAAAAAGACAGACCTTAATTTTTTATGGATAGATCACAAGTAATAACTGACATTAAAGAAACATATCATAAGCTAGAGATATAAGGCGATTTTACTTAGAAATTCATGTTGTTTTTGTTTGCCTTTTTAAAAGATTGATGTTTCTGTTGTTTTGTACAGGTTTTTGTTGTTTTATGTTTGTGTTGTAGATGTTTGTGCTGCCATACATTTGTTTCGTAGAGGTTCATGGTGCTTTCTGTTTGTTTTGTAAATATTCATGTTGCCGTTCATTTGTTCCGTAGTTTTTTATGCTAATTTTCTGTTTGTTTTGTACAGATTCTTGTTTCCATCTGGTTTATATTTCCCCGATGGTTACTGTTATTGCCTTTTCTTAAATATGAGTTCCAAATACGTCTTGATTTATGGATATGAACCATTGTTTGAATCTTTATTTGTTGGTTTTTATTCTACACGAGTCCAAACATTTTAATCTTTCTCTTTCGTATACTAATGTCTAGTTATCGTTAACGACAGATTTATACATCAACTCCATAACTCCGTGTTACATTAGGTGTTACACCAAGAAATAGCATCATCCTGTTATCAATATTTGTCGTAATCGTTTAAGGAAGAACTTTTTTATCAAACAAATACATCAGACAAAATCAGAGTGTACTCAACATATTTTCGGTATTTAATGTTAGGAGAACCGTATTTTGTATTAAAAATCAATGACATAAAAATAAAGTTAATCCATTATATTCTGATTACGGAACACATTTTTGACGTTTATAGTGGACTCTTTTCTTTGATATTTTCTTACGCCTCTGCATTAACCAATTAAATCTGAGTTAACAACTGACGTCGTTTGAAAATGCCTAGCAAAATGTTTGTTTCATAGAGGGTTAAATTTAGACAGCTCCGATAAACATTTTCCAAAATTGTAATTATTTAAAAGACCAACAACCGTATGGTACATTATCTGCATGTACACGTTCTGATTGATGTTTAAAGTATTATCATCGTCTTTAATTGGAATAATTATCTATACTAATTAGTAGTACAATTGCCTATACCTTCTTACAGTATAATTATTTATACGTTTTAGCAGTACAATTGTCTATACGTTTCAGCAGTATAGGTATCTAAACGTTTAAGCAGTATAATTATCTACTCTTCCTAAAAATATGATTATTTATACGTTTTAGCAGTATAATTATCTATACGTTTCAGCAGTATAGGTATCTAAACGTTTAAGCAGTATAATTATCTACACTTTCTAAAAATATGATTATTTATACGTTTTAGCAGTATAATTATCTATACGTTTTAGCAGTACAATTGTCTATACGTTTCAGCAGTATAGGTATCTAAACGTTTTAGCAGTATAATTATCTACACTTTCTAAAAATATGATTATTTATACGTTTTAGCAGTATAATTATCTATACGTTTTAGCAGTACAATTGTCTATACGTTTTAGCAGTACATTTGTCTATACGTTTCAACAGTATAATTATCTATACTCTTTAGCAGTATAATTATCTTTACTTCCTTACGGTATAATTATCTATACCTTATAGCAGTTCAGTTATACCCTTTATACTCAGTATTCACATTGTGATACAGATGTACTACATTTGTTAACCCAAGAGAAATAGTTCGACCAGTTCATTTTTTATTGTATATTACGCCCACTATTTTGTGTTTTCATTCCATTGATCTTGACATTTAATGCGCATCAACTCACATATGTCATATTATGTGTTTGATTGACAGTTGCTGAATCACCAAACATGTTAAGGAAATCAATATATAAATACGTCCTTTTCGAAAGAATAAATTCTTTATTTTTTAAAAGGCGTTGTTGAATATATTATAAATCAAAACAGACAAAAGACTATTGAGAAAAGAGACCAGAGTTGAGTTTTATTTTATCAAAGGTATTAGATATAACACATCAGATGTTATCAAATCGCTATCAGGCTACGTGACCTGTTTGAATATTTTTCCAGTTGATCTTGACACGCATTGGTTTAAAATATATTACCACGTGTTTTATTTCCTCACCTGTTTATATTTAGTGTGTCACTCTAGGATAATAATTCTCGTCATGACTGTTGTAACCAATACTAATGTGGCGAGTGGTAACGTCATTGTCACTGGCAACATCCCGAATATATTGTAAATATGATAATATTCGATTGGTTAAAATGTCACGATTTTAATTTGACAATATTTTATCGCTATTTTCACGGATAATATGAAATGGAGTACGAATTTCACCATCAGTTTTATGTCATAGTACCTCATTTCCGCGACTTTATTTTCTTCTTGAAAAAAAAGTAAAAAATACACCTTGAACTAACAATCGTTATTAACGATACAAAATACATTAAGATTTACAAGAGTACAGAAATGTAATCGCTTACATGTTTTTTTATGTAAGATATCTTATATTTATATATTAAAACGCAATGAACAGATAAGCAATGAAATGAAATATACATGCATCAAAATCAAATCGGTGATTTAACATTTCAGCAATCTTGATACAATAATCCAATGTGTGATAATCTGCTGCAAGATTGCTTTCGCCGTAAACACCGACATTACAGATGTTGCAGATTTAAGAGAACAATGTGCTTTTCATCGGTGATAAAATATGTTAATGTATATATCAAAGTATTTTACATACTGACTACAAGTTCCATATTGTTTACCTGTTCAGCATTTTGTATCAACATTTCAATGTTAATTTTCACCAAATAAGGTCAATGGCTTTAAAATAGATTTTGAAGTATGTCATACAATCTAAAGCTTCATATTCTAGATCTCAGGTGTGAAAGTTTAATTGACAGTCACGAGGAGCTAAACGAACCACACGCTAGTATACACATCAATCAAATTAACAGGTATTACATTTTGATAATTAAAACGTCACGCAATTCAGGCGTGAGTTTCCTTAACGGAAATGGACATATAATGGTAAATAAAAGCACGAAGTTAAACTAGGAAATAAATTTCAACACTCGCTTGAGAGTAATAAGTAAAATGTTAACGGTTTAAAGGGTTGTACATGATAAATTTGAATAAAGTATTTGAATAAAAAATCAAAAATAGGTTCTGTATATCCAAACAGAGGATTAAACTTCCTCCTACAGTTAATTTGTCTATCTGGGACTTGTCATTAGTGCTTTGAGATTTTCTCTAGTGTTAAATATTCAAATATGCCTTGCGTAACAATAGACTTCGATACTTGGACAAAGTCTAACAACAATGGACCAGATAAAGCCAGACATCTGCCTACGTATTCACACTTCCCATAAATGTAAAATGTCATTTAACCACATTGTCTTGAAAAGAATTGATAGACAAATAGATTAGATAAAAATGACAAAAAGGAAAAAGAGAATCTTTCTCAAAATTTACAGCGACTTGCTTCTCATTTGGGTGATCATGGACAGCTTTTAATATCATTAGGTTTTGATATATTTTTTAGCTTCAGAATCAAGCCGTCGAAAGATAAAAAAGCGTCAGGAACTGAAATTGAAGCTAGAAAAACTGCGGGCACAAAGAGCTGCAGAGAAGGCTAAAAAGGCAGCGGCAAAGAAAGCAGCTGCAATGGAGGCTGCTGCAAGGGAGGCTGCTGCACAGAAAGCTGCACTGACGGCAGCAAATAAAGCTGCAAAAATGGCTGCAAATATAAAATCTACAGAACAAACAACAAACAAGGCTTCCTACACATCAGTGCTGAGTGCAAAAGCGCCGAAAGCTACAACGAGCACAATTCCACGTATGTTTCTTACTTTGCTAACGAGTTACTTCAATACTGGATCAAATATTTGTGACAGAAACATACTCAACAGGGATTCTTAAAACTCCTATTCCTGCCAAACTTTCAGTCAGCGAATATTTGTAACTCACAAAGGAAAATTATACGCAAGAATGTAAGACACTACGTTGTCAAAACTGTCTCAAACAACCCTTTTTTCTTGTTCTATATTAAAGATTTTGAATATTTTTATTTGAGCCAAGACCATTTTGATTTTATTTACGTATTTCAACAAAGTTAACTCATCTCGAAAAAATGATAATAAACATGAACAGTGATTGTTTTGCAAATTTTCTTCGTGCAATTGATTTTGTTTCTAATTCTCGTTTTTAAGGGAGTCAAACATCCACTTCCCATTCAAGTTCTACAACCGTTTCCAACACCATGAATTCATTAAAGAATAGTCTTAAAGATGGAGGTAATATCCTGTGATTTCATGCTTGGTATCCATTAAATGTTATTCGGAATATAATATATTAATATGATGTTTTGAATTAATTTCAATATTAAACAAATTTATTTCAAATCGAAATCAATAAATATAAAGTAACGGAATGAAAAACTCACAAATAACAACAGTTTTATTAAAGTTTTATTGAAAGACAGACGTTCTCTAGAAAAGTATTTGCAATAGGAATTGTTGAAAGTCATGACATGGTGGCTAATTTGACATTCAGAAAGTGATGACATACACGAACTATCTTTCGTTTTCTGTGTTTTATGATACGTTCGTTTACGAAATGAATTGTTAATAAGTGCAAAACTATTTTACGGTCTTATCTGTGAAATTGTGAAATCATGATTTTGTTATCCTCAAAAGTACGACAATGTAAACGAAGAAGATCGACAATTGGAAAAATGTTATTTTCTTATTTACAATGGAATATGTTTTGATCTTATTTTGGTTTAGGACTAAATATATCGCCCCAATACCTTACCGAGCTCATGAGTCTTGGTGATAAGCACGGATTGGATGAAAAAACAACCAGGAACGTAATAAATCATCTCCTGAATTCTATCAGAGGTAGGAACTTCCTTTCTATACGATCAGGTGTTTTGTCATGATACATTCGATGATATCATTATGTAATGCAGTTTGAAGCCCAAGTGTTGTTTCTTGGATAACATTTCTTTATAATGAACATGCACACTCCTATTCCCCACTCAACTGGCAACGTTAAACAGAACCGAATATATAATTATATGTTACTATTACTGATTAATGTGATCACAGATGATAACCGAATCAGGCAACAGGTCAATTATGATAACTCCTATGTATAGAATGTGGTGTGGTGCGCATGGATATCGGTCTATTGTTGTAACAATTGTCGAACCTTGTTATCTCGATGTCGGCGAGACCATGGGAAATCTCGAGTTATTCGAGTTATTGATTTTGCTGTTATATCTGTTCCTATTCTGTTTCATAAAAAATTAAATTGCTGTGATTGATTTAAAATGTTGTGATTTACAGGAAAAAAAGTTTGGTGACTTTTGTGTTATTTTTGCGTGTTTAAACAAATGATATATGAAATATTTTACTGACATTCTGGAAATAAAGACCTCTAAGTGTCATACTGATGTCTTTAAAATATTTACTAGTTAAAGAGGACCCAATATGCATTTAGTAATGTTAACCTTTGAATTAAGGCATGCATAGTTAAAAATATTTGTATTTGATTATTTCCTTACAAGAAATGAAGAATAAGATGATTTGTAAATATTATATATCATTATGTCAATATACAATCTACCGCTGAAGCACTGTTAGAAAAAGATTAATGTTTCATTTTTTATTTTGCTTTTCAGTTGGAAATTTCGACTTCCGCAATAGATTATTTTCTGCAAAGCAGGAAGCATCCTTCAAGCAATTACAGGAAAAGTCAATCAGACTACTGGCTGCTTTAGCTGCAGGTTCATGTAAGTATTGAAATGATTAATACATGATAATGATGATAACAAGAACACGTATCAGGAAACACCTCTACTCTATCGTCTAAAACTATATAAACAAATACGACGTAATTGTTGTGATTCTAAGTAGAAACATTCGTACATTGATGTTTCTGTATTTTTGTTTTCAATTACTAATTATGTAATATCGTACACATATGTAATGTTTTTACTTTATCATTATAAAGTGCAATATCTATAAACCGTTTAAGGTTTAACTACGACATCACACAATTACTAGTCCAATGTTATATAACGTCAGATCGTTGAATTAAGATATTGCTCAATACCATATGGCTTTGCGTTACTAGGACATGTTCAAATTGCTACTCGTGTTACGTCCGATCTGGCTTTTTTTCAATTATTTACCAACGAAACAGATGATATACATAAATACAGTTGTACATCTAGAAAAAAAAACATAACGTGCCGGCAATGAACCAGAAGACACTTACTCCTCTGGAACACCTGGTCTTGTTATCACTTTTCTTTTTTAGGACTCAGAGTGCAGTCTCACGAGAATAAAATCTATAAACGCCTTAAAGCGTTTTGCAAATATCTCACCTTTTCCTCCTTTAGTTTTCTAGAATCAGTCATGTGTAAGCGATTACCATTTTGAACTTAATCATAAATTCAAGATACAGGGCCGAATTAACAACCAAGATACCGAGACAAGTATTCTTTAAAAAACTAGTTACAAGCAAAATGTTTCTGTTATTGTATATTCCATACGCTAAATAAGATTAGAGTTAAAATGTAAATGTAGAATTTAATTTGCATGTGTTTACGGTCAAGCTGGCATTATAACGTTGTTTGTAAAACTTACATTAGGAAATTCTAAGCTTCCTGTTGACGAGGTCAATATGTCAAGGAACCTTTCATCACAAGAATTTTCTTTCGCTCAGAACAAGTGGCCTATTGATGTACATAAAGCCCTTTAATTAATTTTCATACATTTTAAGTGCAAACCAATTAATCGGCAGGCAATGTGGATGACAACTTCATAAATATTCCAAACATGAACAGTCATGATCACATGTTCTCCATTTTTCTTTAGTATGTCTATCAACATCCGAACATCGCTTTTTATAGAAAAGTGTATTCATAATTGTACGAGGATTAAAAATCTTATGACAGTGATGTATCATGATTAGATAAAACTCTGCACAAGCATATAAAAGCAAGCAAATTTTCAGTTGTCATGCATGTCATTTAACAAATATGTTATTTATGTATATTCGATAAAGGTCAAATTCTGGATTTTTTCCTCGCGGCATTTTTGTAAAAGGGAGGTCTTAAATTGAGTAGATGAAATCGGATTTAAAGCATACAAAACAAACAAAAGAGCAGTTATATAACTTTTATTTAAAAAAGAATTTTAATTCTGATTAATGAAATGAATGAAAGATAATTATGAATTTGCTGATATGAGCATACAAAATACAAAAAAAAAAAAAAAAAGAAAAGAAAATTGTGCTGGTTTTTCCACAAAGACTTTAACAACCTGATTGTTATTTTTCGGAATATCTATTCTTAAAATTAAATGTTCATATTGTATAGATTAATTATATATATGCCACATTGAGTAATTTTTCTAACTTCATTTTGGCAATTAAACAATCTTTAAACGCTTCCCTATTTGGAATCATAGTTTGATAATTAATTGTATTTAATAGACTTATTGTATAATTCTCATAAAGACTTTATCTATGCATAAATTATTTTTTATGTGATATCTGTTTAAACAAAGGGCAATAACTCAATCGCATGTGAAACGCAATATAATCCGTTTTTTTTAGTAAATTACCGTTTAATGTTAACGCAGCATTTATTTCACAGAGGTTCAACGTTTGCTTGTTTTACAGCTTCTTCCTCGCTACCAGCAAGAACTGGAGTAGATAGAAGCCATCAATCGAAAACAGAAGGAGGTAGGAATAATAGAATATAGTAAAATATGTTCATAAATAAATAAATAGATATATAAGATAAAGTGAAGAATTTTAGTTGTTTTCAATTTTCATTTGAATACGATATACATCATAACATAACTGGAGATCTAACTATGGTTCTTGATTTTTAAGTATTTATATTACAATGAGATATATATCATTTCATTAATATGGTGAGGTGATTATAGACATAATCATTCTCAAAAAGATTTCGTTCATTTTCTATAAATAGTAAAATCACATATTTCATGTAGGTGTATTGTGTCAGTAAAAATGATTCAAATTATAAATTTAATATGAGTTTGATATTAAGATGTTATATTGCAGGTTATACAATTTTACTTTAATAAAATAATATCTATATCTATATATAACCGTTTAATAGACCCCGATTATACAATAATTACCATTGATATATTCCTAGATGGACACACTCTTACATGCTATTTTAATCACTATAAAACACGATTTAGAGAAAAAAATGAATTAATGAAATTTGAATCACGTGGATTATATCAAAAATATTAAGGTTGTATATTCGGGGCCTACATATTTGTATCAATAATATAAGTTGGTTATTTTCGGTCATTTGGTTATTGTGATGCATCTATATAACATGCCTCAATATAACATGCTTCATATTTTGCATTGCACTTCACATTGGCTTTGCAATTTGTATCATTAATATTATTTATGTTCCTCCTTTGTGTTCCATAGTAATGTTTAACTATGATCTATTTCAGCTGAAACAAAGATCTAATGAAAATATCACGTGTTTGATATTTATCTTATATCATATTGCATTTTACATATTTAGTATTTTTTTTTTAATTTTGTGATTACTTCACACCGAAACAGTAACTATGACTACGATTGCTGGGATGTATTCAGTATTTCGGAGTCTGGATGTTTCAGAATGAGAGAAACCGTACCAAGCGCACTCTTTCTTTTTAATTTGCTTGCTTTTAAGACAATGGTAAAAAGTTCCTCGAGACCAAGCAATATCATTCGAAATTTGCTTACTTAATAAGTATCTTTCACTACTAATTTTGCTATACTCGTAATGTTAAAGTTGATGATTAGATTTGTTATCGATTCGTTAATCGATACCCAAGCTTTAGACAGCTGATAAGCTTTTTCTCTGCATATTGTGTATACAATATATACGTTTATGCGTGTGAGAGTGCATGCGCTTTGCGAAAAGTAGTCGAAGGATTGAAACTGATCAGTGTAATATATTTTACCTGTTGTAAAACAAATATAAACATCAACAGAGTTTATTGAATAGGTAAAGGAAACATTAATACCATAAACATTCTGCTGCAACATCTGGGACCACGGAGGGACAGTGACAGCGATCAAGATTCTTCCGGTAATTATGGCATCGTTGCCTTAATAAATCGGCATTTGAAACAAGGAATTTATTCGTTTTAAAGTAGGCACCGATGCGTACGCAAGTATATAATATAAAATTTGAAGAAAAATACAAATAAATAAATAAATAAATAATAATTATACTGAACTGAAAGTACAAAATGAAGTGGATAGATGAATCCACAATATCACTGCATGGTATATTATGCGATTGGGTTAGATAGAATTAAGACGTGTATAGTGACACTATCAAAGAATATTATCCTACTACCATATCAACAAAACGCGAAGCGGCGTGTTTATAATAAACACAATAGTTACCTAAGTAATTTTACGTATGTATATTGCAAATATATTATATATTTTAATATTGATAACACGTAATATTTACCGAATATTTATCACATATTTGTTGCATCGATTTTCTCTTTGATTAATATCACTTCTTATTAATTTTCAGTGTCACATATTTATTCTCATATTAATATCACAATTTTTTTTATTCATTCGTATATTTATTATTTCATTAATATCACAACAATTTTGTTATCATCTTTATATTAATATCACATATTTATTCTCATATTAATACCACAATTATTTTCATCATTCTTGTATTTATACCACCTATTTATTCACATAACGATTTATATTAATTCAATAATTTCTAAACGCATATATATAACTATAACACAATTATTATAGAATAAATATTGTATGTGTTTTGATATGTTCATATCACACGTGTATATTTCTATTAATCCACACATACATACATTTGTCAGACTCATCTCAAATGAATGCTCAACTTCATTCACTCCTTAAGAATTTGGAATCATCCGACAGACATGGGGCCACAGCATTGCACGGTAAACATTAATCGAATTTTATCAAACAGCTTGGAATAATGATCTCAATGAAACATAAACTTTTGAAAAAAAAAATTTCGATTGTTTCTTAAGTGAAATGTTTTAATTCCATCAAATCATTTATTTCTTCTGGCTTTTTGTTAATGTTTTGTTAGTTTTTTAAAACCCTATCAAAATCAACTAATTGTTTATTCTCCATTGAACAAATATTGGCAACAAAAGAACAATGTATGAAACAAACATCTGAGAATTTTTTCTATACCATGGTATCAATAAAATCGTCAGTATGTACCAATACGACTGCTTGCTTTCCCGTCCATTCTAAACGGTACCCGGACTGAAAGAATAACTGGATTACGAATATTATATTATTATTGATATTATAATAATAGGTTCACATGGAATGAATGCGGAATCAGTGATGTCTCTCATTCGAAATGTACAACAGTCAAAAAACAACCCGACATCTATTTCGAGACAAGGTACATAACAGCAAACCCAAAAAAGGGAGCAACGATAATACATCTATCATTATTTCTATTAGAGAGAACGATATCAAAGCTATTAAATTGTCTGTTTCTAAACACTTCGTAAGGGCAACTGAATACTGAAACAGTTACCAGGATATTACGTAAATGTCACAATAAAATAACATTATTGACACCAGTCTTCGCAATTATTTAAAACGTTATTGTGAAAAAGTAGAAACCTGTATGTTTGGATCAGACAGAGCGCTTAAGTCTTCAGAGCATAAACATATTTTTAATGGTTATTTTACCGGTATATAAATGTTTAGTTAAAAGGCGCTAAACCAGTAAACTAATATTGTTCTTTTTGTTTTTTGCAGGTTCTGACGCAGGAAACACTGATATATCAGAGTATTTTAAACAACTGAAGTCGTCCCACTCTACTTCCGATATAGGATCCGGTCAAACGTTCAGTAAATACACACGTTAAAAACGTATTCAATTCTAAAAAATCTACAGGGCTGTTTTAAACTCTTGTAAAAAGTATTTTATACTGGAAAATATCCGTAAGATAAAATATGGTGTGGAATAATAAGGGAAAAGTAATTTAATTGTCCACTTAATATCATTATATTATTGGTATAAGTACAAAATTCTACGGCATTGGAAGTAGTGCTTTATCACAGAAATTCAAATATAAATATATGTGTGATTTATCTATTTTTGAGAGTTCATTACCATTTTTGCAATTGACTTAACTTTGGAATGTATTTCTCAGCTGCACTAGGTACGTACAAATCATATACAGGGCGATATACGAGGGAAGGTTTTTCAAAATGACCTGTCCGTTTATTTATCACAAATATCCAACTTCTATAGTTAAAAGAAAACAGGTGAAATAGCAAGACATAAAAAACTATATTGCAAAACTGCAAGAAGAAAAATGTAAATGACTGTATTATCATTGATATGTATGTATTTTACACCTGTCAGGTTCAGCTGAGGTTGGAAGCAATTCTAATGATCTTGCAGTGCTCCTTAAACATTTGCAAAGCTCACAGACAGGAACAAGCGGAGGGACCGGGTCAGGTAAATGTGCAACAAAAATGCTGTCAATATCATGAATCACCTTTTAACTATATCCATAGGTTTTATCCTCAAAGGTAAGACAAACTCTTCTACAATGCAGACATGGTAAATCAAGAGTTTTCGTCTCGTTTTTGGTGGGGTTTGGGTAAGGGGTTTAAAGCATATTCTGGTAAGTTCCATTTTCTTGAAAAAGACCATGATCTGCATAGATTTTTTTTGAATTGTTAAGAAATACTTTTCAAGTGTGATGTTATGATGAGTTTGAATTTGATTAATGGAAGTTTATGCATAATTACCAAGTGGATATGTATAGAACGATGGAATCTTGGGATTAATCCGTGGACAGGAATATTTCAATCCAGTGTACGAATTTTACTCGTCAGCACCAAGACTTTGGACTTTGTGATTAGTAACACACAGAATGAGAATCCCTGTTTATTTACAGACTTATGATTGATAATTTTCTCACATACTTAAACAAAACTGTAACGAATTCAAATTATGATTTATAGATCGCGTCATCATCAATGTCACATGAAATAATATATAATATTTACTTTCAACGTTGTTCCCTTATAATTTGTCAGGCGCCTTGGACCTTCAAACACTCCTTACTCATATGAACAGTCATGCACAAGGAGCAAGTGGGCATCAACTGCCGTCTAGCCTCAGCACACAGCAGTCGAGAAGTGGAATGAACGAACAACAGAAATACACAAATGACATACACACAAGTAAGACTTGTCACTGGCAACCGATTGCTGATTAAGTCGAATCAGTAGGATTAATCATTAACTTCACCTCGAACCTACATAACACAATTAAGCACATTCAGATTCGTCTTCACACAGAAAATAATTTTACTGCTTGGCAAAAACGGCATCTCAAAAAAATGAAACAGTATATGAATTATTTGTTTGCTACCTAGATATTGAATTTCGTCAGCTTATAACTTAGATTAAGGTTTAGTCCATTACCACCTCTTTGCTTACCTAGATATTGAATTTCGTCAGCTTATAACTTAGATTAAGGTTTAGTCCATTACCACCTCTTTGCACGCTTCTAGCTAAAAGATATGCTACAATCCAAGACAATTCGAATTACATTCAGAAAAAGTAAGTAAACGGGAAAAAATATTTATTATGTATATATGTTTATTTTTCTAACCTAATTGCTTAGTTAAGATGGGCATATTAAAAATCTGATAGATGTAACCGATTTTTAGTCGCTCCCAAATTGTTCGAGGTTTGTCATCTACCTGAATGTTAACCAAATTGTATGCAAATTGTCTGCAGCACTTTTTCCTCACAAACAGATCTGCCTCAAGGAGTCAATAACATTCCCGAGATTTCAAGACAAAGAGGACAGTCTAAATCTAAATCAGGTACCAGAGCTGGTTCATCACAAGGTAAATATTCGCCATAAGTGTTATGGTCCTCCAGTGTTAACCATGACCATCCGCCAACCCGCCAGCCCGTCTCTCCAGTCGCATCCCGTCCTGTCAGGATTTGTTTCATTCCAATCTTAATCAACCGCTAAACATATTTATTCATCGTTTACCCCATAGCTTTTGTTTTCATATTTTTGTATAAACAGTGAAATGTATTGTAGCTGATCTTTAAAAGATGCATTTTCTTTTTATGTGTTTCATGCATATATATATATAATGTCTTTTTCGTAACAATAAGGTTCCTCTTGGTCATCATCGTCAACGTCATCCTCTCATAACGTCAAAAGAGGAAACTCAGTTGCAGGAGCAAATCAAGACGCTGAATTAGGTAGGTTCACGCGATCAAAATAAATATGACGGAATTGTTTTTAGTATTAATTAATGTGGTTGGCAAAGAATTTTAGTTTGACATCTTGGAATCTGACGATTAAATTCAACAATGTTATTAATCACGTAACACCACCCTGGATGTTTTTGTTATATAAATTTGTATCGAGCCATATGCTACAATAATTTCAATAAATCATAGTTTTAAAGATTTCTTGAGTAGTTCGAAGTTTGTTTACAAGATCTCCGTACTCAACTCAAATGTACTAGCACCAAATATGTATTAACAGTTTGATCGTGATAAAAAGGTAACAAAATAGATATTGTTTAATCTAGTGATACAGCAAATTATTTCATATTGTCTTTTTTGACAAAATAGTAATTTTGTTTCTGATTTGAAATTTTCTAGCAAAGATGCTTACACTGATCTCAGCACTACAGCGGAGTCAGTCAACTAAAACACATGGCACACATGGTAAGCCATCAATATGTATCCTTTCTCCGAAGCAGTTCACTAAGGCAGCAATGCAATACTATCCTTCAATTTAATGAGGACAACGGGAAGCGATGTCGTGTCAGCTTGTTTCTATTTTCATTGTTGAACTCATTTTGTCAGTTTCTATGATATTGTACTAAAAGACACATTTTAATACAAATCTAGATAAGATACAGTATTGTAAAATTAATCTAATTGCATCACACAGCTGATGTGTCCTTTTATGACTCATCTGGGGTGTTAAGGGTCTAAATTTTAAATCTAGGGTGAGTAAGGGAAATCCAATGTGATTGAAATAAATGTGTAGATGGAAAGGTGCACTAGCCTCATAATTAAATGAAATCTTCAAGAATTTTTATATTGCAATGGAAATCAAAACTTAGCCTTGATACCTCATGAGTTATACAATAAAAATCTTAGATCTTTGATGCCTTAATATTTTTTTTGTTTATATCGATATTGCATGTTGTAGACAATGCTAGTGGGCTTTTAGTCCCCGAAGTGTGCCGTAACTTGCATGTCACGTTTTCATTCATGCAAATAGAAGCAATATCCGGAATATTGATATACATATAATATTGAAATTTGGGGGTAGAGCACGTCCCATTTTAAATTGTGACTTTTCTTTTGATTACTTTGGATTATTCTCAGAAGCCTCTTATCTTCAGAATTAAAGACCTAACATCAGTAACGAGTCATAGAATTATCAAAACAGCTGAATGGTGTAGTTTAACTCATTATTTGGCTCTACTCAATCTAGCTCTAAACTTGTGTTTAAAGTTGGTATTCACTTATGTGTCTTTTGAACAATCAATTGGAAACACTATGAAATTCCCTACTTTCATTTATAAATGATATCCATACATACACGTCATATTGAAAGGAAGATAGTAATATATCTTATTGGCTTTCGTCTCTCATGAATGACTTGGACATTTGATATGTGCTTTCCGAAACCAATCACTAATGTCTTTTACTTACATTAGGAACATCATCGCTGTCCAGCGAGGCAGAGATAAAGAAAGTCATGACGGAATTGGCAAAATCTGCGGACGGTAAGCAAATTGTTTTTGTGTCCATTTTTTCCGGATGATTTAAAAATAAAAATGTATGCGTTTTAACCATTTGCAATAACACACTGGGACGTGGGTAGGTTTTGGAGGTGAATTCATAGTCTTGATTAAGTAAAAAGATAATAACGGTATCTTAAAATATGTCTCTATTGATAAAGAATTAGTCATTCTAAACATAATGATTTATGAAACAACCAGTAAGTAACTGCTTCTAGATTAGATCACGGTTTCCAAAATGAGACTTCATTTAGTAACTGAAGAAATATCCTTTGTAAATACATGACGCTAAATTGGATATGTTAGTCATTATATTTTAAAAGAAAATCTAACATGTGCGTGTAAATCATAAATCGGATGACCGACTTTTCAAATATAATAATTATGTACCATCAAAACACTTTTTAAATTGTCTTTGTTATTATATTTAGTAGAATTATAAATTTAATACAGACGTCAATCATGTACACAGTTTTTTAACATGAATGTTGTGTTACGTCATATTGATATAGGCGCAACAGACGCTGAACTTGCGTATCTAATTAAGAGGCTTTCCGAACTACAGTCAGGATCCGAAGGATCGGGTGAAATGCAGACAGCAAGTTCAAGTATGTGATGTTTTTCATGCTTGTGATATTTAAATTTTGTTTCCTTTTTTGTTATTGTGTAAAGTGCATATTTTAAATGATGTACTGTAACGTGTTATGAAAAATGTAATTTATGCATCTGCAAACACCGAAAAGAGAAAAAAAAATATGTTTACATTTTGGCATTTATTTTTTAATTTAAGTAACTTTATAAAAAGTAATAATCGTCCTTCATTATACGTAACGATGGAACAGACTTTAAAGTTTAGATACAAGTTTTGTTGAGAACTACAAATAGATAATAACAATAACAATACAAATATAAATATATATTCTAATCCAAATTTAAGGGAAAAAAGGACCAATTTTAGACAGTTTAAAAATTCTTCTGAATGAATTCTGACAAGACTTTGCAAAAGGATTAAGCGTTTTCAAAAGGGGGGGATCTGGGTCACTATATGCCAGATAACTCTCTTCCTAATTTCTTATAAGTCACAAAGGAATGACATTCACTGTGTATATGTTTAAATGTATGTGTTATGTATGAACATAGATGATATTTACTATTTAGATGTTAAAAATGATATTTATTCCAGAACCCCGAGGAATTAGTTCCAGTTTTTCAGGCCAGCATTCAAAAGGAGGATCGCAAAACGGTGGCAAAGGAGGTAAGAGTTGATGTTCATACGCTTACTTGTTTACTATCTTGTGGTGAAAAAAAATAAACTGAATGTCATTCAGAGGTTTCAGGATAATCATAATACAGCCATATGTAGCATTCCATTTGTCCACTCAGGCGAAAAAGACTTTAAAGCAATTCTAAGAAATTAGAATAGTCTCCAGTGATCCATGAGAAATGAAATGTCAGTCGTAACGATATAACAGCTTTTTGGAAGTGATGTTTGATGTAATTCGAAACCTATCGTTCCAATATTTCTAATACAGATATATCTTATCATGTTTTAAAATAACTTTAAGACATATCTATTTTGAATATTGTTTAAAACAATTATGTAACCTGATAACACATGTAAATACTCGGAGTTAAGTTAAAATAATTCGAATATTTAAAAAAAAAATTATATTTCTACCCTTGAACTAGCTTTGTGCGCATTAAGACTAATTGACTGAATAAGACACTGATGGTAAATTTTAGTGATAGCTAATTCATCATACCGTCATAGTGCAAATGCCTTCTTCAACATTACAACCTAGGTTCTGCCAGGACCAGCTCTGTATTGTTCATGTTGTAGTATAGATATACTGTTCAGGACATTATCAATTACTGATGCTATTGTATTTTTTTCGACCAGGATTAATCAGCATTTTGACAACAACGACAACCACAACATCCAGGTCAGGTCATCCTAGTTCCGTGAGCACATCCACCGGAACACACAGTTCCGGTTCAAATTTAAACACTGCTTTAACCAAAGGTCAGATATATTTTAAAGAATTAGATATATAAACACATGCTTTTAGATTATATTTCTCAATTTGACATCAATATGCCAATTCAGGTGTTTGATACTTTCTATTTCTATTCCAAATCATTGAAATACGTTAAGAATTGCCGAGTTCCTGTAGAATTTGCACACAATATGAAAAGTCTCATATCTATATCATTATGGACAATTGTATTTACCCTTTTTTAAAACATGATTAAACGAGTTGTCTCAGCTTCAATCAATCACTTGTATGGCTGCGGATGACAGTCATTATTTTTTAATAAACCTTTTCAATTTTGATAGGGAATTATGCCTTATCAACCTGGTTGATAGACCAATGAGTTACCACTACGAACATTTATAGTGTTTAATAGGACAAAAAATGTACTTAACGATATTCTATACACTAGATAGGGGAACGATCTGATTGAGAAATATTATTTTTAGTTGTTCTATATTAAGCTGAACTTGTTAACTGCTCGTTAGTATCGTTGTGTCTCTGTTGTTGTTTGCTTTTGGGTTTCTTTGGGATGTGACCTGCTTCGAGTGGTAGTGTATTGGGTGGAACAGTAGACCTTTCACTAAGACGTGGTGTTATTAAACGTAATTTTTCTATGTGTATTCTTTCTTGTAGCTTAATTTTGCTTCAGTTTCATCAACTAGCATTGGGATTCTCTTTACATGTCGGTTTTTTAAAATTCAGTTCAACATTGCATTGTGATGTTGGATCACATTTCATGGGATAAATACATTTAAAGATATATTTCCCTTTAAAATACAAACCTTATTGATCTTGCAATTTCAAAACAAGCTATTAACCTATTAACTTATGGCAATCTCTATTGGTGAACCAGATGGAGGCACACGAGGTGTATTTCTCGTATAGGAACCCGGAGAAACCTTAGATATAGGACAGGTTACCTACAGCATTTCGCTTCCGATTGGAAATTGAATCCCACTTATGTAGATAAAACGCATGTTGTTTACCATAACGACCACCTATATTTTCCTATCTGTATGGTAATAATTATATTTTTTAGATATAAGATTAAAAAAGAGTTGGGTTGAAAATAGTTTTCCTTTTGGGTTGTGATTTATATTTTTACAACATATTGGTGTGCCTTTTTTCATTATTTGTTGAAACCTATAAGTTGTAATAGTAACCTGAACAAAATACTACATGTCTGCGCTGTGCACCGTAATGATATGGTTATGTTGCTTAGAGAATGGCCATGCGTAGACAAAGACATTACAGTTGTGGAATGTGTGTTTGAGGAGGGGAGAGTTGGTTCTTTGAGGTGGTGGTAGAGGTGTGAACATCATATGAGGGAACAGTCGACGGATACAATTTATATAGCACCACATAGTTTTGCCGTCCAGGAAGCAGCGTAACTCATATAAAAACGGAAAGTTATAGCATTTCAGGGATCATTATCTATTAGAAATCTAAGAGTAGCGTATTGATCACGTAAGGATATTAAATAATGGTTTTTGCAAGTTCGATTGTTTCATCAGTCTGATTATAGGTCTCCATTGGTTTGGATTCATCTACATGTCTTCTACTAATCTACCACATGAATGATTCTTTGAATTATAATTCACTGTATTTTTACAACGATATTTATTTTAAATGTTTTACTTATACTGATGTAGTGTTAAAATATATTATACTATTTGATTTCCTGCTAACTGATAAAGGTTTTGGCCACACGTCGTCTTCGTCGTCGTCTTCAAGTAAAAGTTTTGCGCAGACCTCAAAATCAAATTCATTGCGATCAACATCTAGCAAATCTAGCAGATCCAAGTCGTCCCGGTCACGGAATTCATCATCTGAACGTAAATCTTCAGCATCCAAGAGTATGTTGTTTTTCGTTTGAAAGCACCCATTTATTCTTTGTATATTCGTATAGTGTATATATGCTTATCGTTTTGATATTCATTTGGAAATTGATTGGCATGCAAACAAGGTAGATGGAAATGGCAATACGTGTAAACAGTTTTAGAAAATGCAAAATATTGGTCAGTACGTTTTCCTCTAATGTTTAAAGTTAGAAAATATGAAGTATTCATTGCCGCAGACACCATCGATTTTACTGTACGGAAACTATATGTAGCCATAACGATTCTTGACACAGATAATTCTGATATAAACAGATAGACAAATTCTATAAAGCAGTTGTTAATATTCGTGGGGGTTTTAATTTCGCTTTTTTCGCAGTCAACATCGTTAACGTGAAATTAAAACCCCACTCAATATTATAATATGTTACCCCAAGGTGGGACAACCGTGAAATATTTACTCAGCAAAATCAAACAACAATAAGCATAATCATTCAAGTTAGACCGTGTGTTTCAGAACAATATCATTATACATTCTTTCAAATTAAGAAATATTTAAAATGATCAAATTAATGAAATGTAGTGAATAGAGTTACTACATGGCTATGAATGTATATGTATATATTGGTCAGATCGATTTGAATAAAAAAAGCCCTCTTGATTTCTGTAAGTATTGTCCTTACCATCGCTTTTGTACAGTTGTATACATCCCAGTTGTATAATGAAATAATCCTTCGGTGTGCAATCTTTATAAGGGTTTACATGTGTATGTACAATCATTTATATATATTTGACCTTTTGCTGTGAAACTTAATATTCATCTCTGTGAGGAAGATTACAGCTTTGTAAAAGTTATGATTCAGTGTTTTTGGCACGGTAACATTGTACCATTCTTTTGTAACAATGTTTTGTTTGAAGACGTTTATGGAACCTGTCGAAAATACATATTGTCATCAAATTAATTCAAACACTAAAATAAATCTACTTATGTGAACGGAATCAAAACCATTCCAGAGAAAGCAAAGGAAAGCAAACAAGCGACAAAACATATGTTTATCACAAAAGAATCGTGAAAATGTTAATAGAATAACAATGCAAAGTGAAAGACTACCCAGTCCATGGTAATGACATTTCTAAGTGTTTACAATAGGAATCTGAATATCGATGTATTGTCTACAATGAAAGAAATGACCATAAGTGATCATAAAATGTATGTTACAGGTTCCAGGTCAGGGAAAACTGAGTACATCATGCTTTATAACAAAGGCGAACAAAAGAGGGTACGCTTGTCAGGTAAGTTTACTATTCATGGAAGTCTCACTTTTTCCCACTAAAGGTATGTTCTATCATCACTTTTTGTGTGAGTCTCGAATAAAGGTAGCACTTTCCGCTTTTTAGTATTTCTTGTAAAACGTCGTCAAGTAATGCTCCTTTAAATCACAAATAGTTTAAAACTGATTGTCAGACTCGCTGTCTCTTCTTCTCACTATTTCATCTTCGATTTTGCATAACTATGTATTGTCATAAAACACATATAAGAGAATACAAGGTAAAAAACCCCAAAAAGCACAACCACTTAGAAATCGTTTCGATACTGCAGATAGCGTTCCAAGTGACGTAATAATTTGTATATGAGTTGTTCAAATTAATGTTTCCACCATTTTATACATTCAGTCATACTTTTACTTAGAAAGCAAGTGACCTTCAGGAGACATTCTTGGAAAAAAAATTAAAATTTCGCACAGATTTTTCTTGAGAACTACTTGACAAAACGTCGAATCGCGGCCACATTAGATTTTGAGAAAGAATATCAGTTTTACAATACACTTAAATCTATTTGTGTACTACGCTTTTAGAACAATTGCGGTAGTTGAATAAGAAATACCTACTTAGAATTTGTTATAAATTTAACCCTATAATTTATATTGTAGACTTGAGACGAAAATTGCTGCCTCTGGTACAACAGAAATCAGGTATAAGGTTTACTAAATATCCAATATAAATTGATTGGTGAAATCAACCCTTAATCATATTGAATGGATCGTATGATCATTATTTGTTAGAATTTAGTTATGGGTGCATGTCATTGTCCAATACGATAACTATTTATCTCTCACTGAAGTGCGAAGATTGTCATTCCGTCTTTTCGTAAGTTATCTGCTCTTAGATCAGGTGTTGATTATTGAGCCATTTGTTTGTTAGAATAACGTCATAAAAGTGTCTGGGAAAACGATGTAATTTTCTCACGCATATTACACACATGCTAAGAACAGAAGATAACTCTTAACGAAAAGACGGGATCGCCACACCATGAATAAAAGATTAAGCATTTGTTGACCATTACTTTAACAAACGATCCCATATCGTATTTAGACGAAAGTATAGTGTAAATACATTGTACACCTATGCTCCTAAATATTATTTAAAAAAAATAGTAACCTTGCAGAAAATGACAAAGCTTTGAAGAATTATTTTTGAACATGTTTTCTAATATATACCTCAATGGCATTTTATACTAACTGGAAAACGATTGCCTCCCAAATACATAAAACTGTTTTTACTTCAAGTTAAACGTAAATTTATAACCATTTGAATTTTGTTTCAGGGCACCAGAGTGAAGCAGAAATAGAAAGTGTTGTTTACGATATAATAAAAAAACTACGCTTAGAATGTAAGTTGCTATTGTCCTGATCTGTAACCAATGATGGTATTTTACAAGCAAGTCTGAATTTGATGAAATGATATTTGTAATTTTGAACTTAATGTTTCATTTTATTACATAATTTTATATTAAGATTATTAAGTCATATCACGTTAATACGACTTGCTTAAACAACAAACAGATGATATTTATATTATGAAAATAATGAGATATTGCAATAATATTGATAATTGATAACGATAATATAATTTCATTTTGCAGCCGCCAAGCGCATGAGAAGCAAGGATAGTGACAGCTTTCTTTTAGGTATGAGATCTATCGATACATTTTAAGCAGAAGTTTGTAACGAAATGTTTGTTGAAATGTGGAAATTATGGGATGGGTGACAACACGATACATTGAAAATAATAATAAAAAAACCAAAACAAGCAAAAACAAAACAAAAACAAAAAAATATGAAACTAAATAAAGTTAATAAATCAATATATGCCCTTGCTGATATGCCACAATTCATTAAAAACGGTTCAGCGATATCATTCCTTTTCTGACAGCTGAAGTATTTACTGAAAATTTTAAATCAGCCTTAATATTTTAGTCTTTTCCAGTCTTTATTGATTTAGAAAAAACGACGATTTTTTAATCAATTAGTCAATTATTCCCTTTTTTTATCACTGTTCATAGTTTAACTTTCGATATCTCTCAATGTTTTAAAATTATTTTGGCTATACCTAAGAAGTAGATTTCATATTCACAGATCTGAAGTGTGAAATACCGTAAAAGTCTAAATTCGTTTATTTCTTATTGATATCGAAATAAGTTATAATTCACTTCTGAAAGGAACCTTGTAATAATCTATCTTTGTGTACTTTTCTAACCTAATATAATAGCTAAGGACTGCCACGTTGTAATTCATTCGAATAGTTGCACAGTTCAGAATGCAAACATGCACTTTACGCTGTTCTAAAATTATGTGGTAAATGAAATTTATATAATCATATGGCTGCTTCACCTCCCCATATAGATTTCGACTTTTCTTTTGATCAATTTGGATTTTCCTCAGTTGCCTCCTAGGCTTCAAAAGCTGGGACCTTAGCATCACTGATGCGTTCAAGAAGGATTCGACATCTGTCTGATGCAGTTTAATTCATTGTTTAGCTCTGTTGTATCTAACTGTTATTATTAATGGAAGTTTTTCACTTGTGTGTCATTTGCAAAATCTTAAACGATAAAAAAGCATTTTCAATAATAAAGTTTGCTTGTAATTATCAATTGGAAACCAATTACGAATTCTGATCCTCGAATAACAATTCTTTATACTCCATTTATATTTTGTTTGGAAATCGAGTATTTTAGACCTGCGTATTTCTTATTTTGTAATTTATTCAACAAACAATGACTGAAAACGACATTGAGATTGTCGTATCCTGTGCAGGTTCATGATAAAGCAGCCATGCGTATATCTTTTTATTTTAATTAGGGATGTCGTAGATGTCGTTAATGATTATTCATTCGCCTATTTAATTTTCTTAATGATGTAGTCTTATCGAAACATTCTTTCCACAAATTATAGATATTGATTCTCTACTTTTCCTTTTTTTAATTTTCACTAGGCGGTCGTTTGATCGAATTTGACAACCCAGTAGGAACTCGTGCCGGTGTCAGTGGAGATCTTGCCAACCAAGGTAAACCATTTAAAATCATTCTCTTGTGGACAATAGTGATGAAACGGATCATTTATCTTTCTTATTTAATTCACCTTAAGGTATGATGTCTTTTTGTAAGTTCTGTTCGGATAATATGGGATCTCCGATTACTTTTATTCCTTTAAACTGCTATGTTAAAGATATCGATAATACCGGCAAATCAACTAATAAAAAGGTAGCTTAATAATCAAAAGGAGTTGTTTTGCTGCACCTTTTCAGGAGTCTCTGTGTCGATCTTTCTTTTGTACAAATTTTGCCCTTTTTTTTTTTTTAATTTGAATTATCTATTAATCATCTTATACATCTACCTGTTATCAATTTGGCAAGTTTATCTGTTGATTATAATTTCAATTACAATCTTAATATTTTTGATATTTTAATATATTTTTAGATTATATATTAAGCAATAATTTTGTTGTTTAAAAACGTTTTGTTGTCCTTCGTTACATGCTGTCTTGAACTTAGCATGAACATTTTTGTCTATTTTTCCTTCAAATTTTGTCAATAACGTAATTATATCACATTAGAAAAAGCAATACGATCTGTATAATTCAAATGAAATATGAAAGTTTTGTCTTATTTTACTCTTTAGCTTCCAGTGCTGGTGCCGTTGACCAATCAGCTATTAGCAACTTCAGTAAGTAATCGTTTTATTACTAAGGAGCAGTATTATGTATTCATTTTTCGCAAATTCGATAAACTATGTTGACATGATAAAAAAATGAATATTTATCAATTACTGAAATTCCCAGAATAAAGATACCACAAGTAATTTGTAAAATGTTCTAAAAAATATTCTAAAAATAATTACATTTAATTTAAGATAAACAAAATAGGGAAGACAAGGTTCAGAGTATGTATTATCTAAAAAAAGGATATTATCTAACTTCTTTTTCTTCTGTTTAGTTAGATTTATATATTATTATCAGCATTATTTCCCATGATATATTTGCACATAAACATGTCTCCAACATATGAGATCGGTGTGTATTTAAGCTGTGACACAGGAAATAAGCAATCGCGTAAAACACTTTCATCAGTTTATATTCTGAAGAAAACTGAATTTGATTAGATGAAAAGATAATAAATACAGCACAACACCTTGAAAATAAGCCAGTTAAAAATTATATTAGTATTAAAATGAGAAATCAGTCATGGCTTTAATAATCATTTTAGAATAATTTTTAAAACTGCTGCCAATGAGGTAATAATTTGAGTTTATCAGCACTCCATAGTTCTGAAAAAAATGTTCAGGATTAATGATCACCATTTAGGTATCACATGTTATTTTGATATTAAAGCCTGCCTTATATATTCAATTCTTAACTCTACAGTCAAACCATAAAAAAGATAACACATGATGACATCTCTCCATCAATCAACGTTTTGCAAACCATCTATATACGTCTACTCATTAATCCTATTTCAAGCTTCGCTACAAAGAGCTATATGTAGTAAGGGTTGTTTTTGCCGAACACAATAATGATGCGAGGTATACATCATTTTAAAAGTTGTCATGTAGTCATTTGTTATGTGTCACTTCTGGATTTTTTCGTTACCATGGTAACCCAATAACCAGTATTTTAACCTATTTTCACTAAATTATCTGGTAATAATTACTGAAATATTGCTAAATACTGTTAAATATCATGGATGAAAGATATTAGATGATGATCAATGAACATGTAATAAAAAGTTGATGCTTCATTTTCAGCACCTTCAGACGTGTTAATGAACACTATAACAGAGTTGGTCAACCATAGAGACGTACCCAATACTGCTTCAGGTGAGTGATCAAATCATCTGACAAGCATTAATATTGATTTTAATGTAAAATAATGAGTGTTTCTATGACCTCATTATCAAAAAACTTCTACCATTGTTTTCTTAGAAATTAATAAGGATGACAAATCTAGGTATTGAAATTAATACAGTATAGAATCCAACGACAGACTTGTATAATAACATATGATTTGATGTTTTATTGATTTCTAAAAAAGTCGTTTTCGATTACATTTTCATGACGAAATTGTACCTATCGTTTGATTTAATGATCACACAGAATAAAACTAACGATCTGTCATATCACTAATTGCAAGGCCCATAACATTACGGCAATCTCATCTGTTACATCATTTTACCGATCAGCGGTCGGTCAAACGGTGCTTATTATCTTAATAAAGACACATGTAAGCAGTATGATATTGAGAGATGAATATGACATTTTTTAGGTAGTGCAACCGCGCCTGCGTCACCAACTCCAAACACTGACCTGACAAGGGCAGCCAACTCTGTTTCAGAAGCTGGTATGTTATAGACTTAGATATTTGAAATATATATCATTTGCGGAATCAATCGGTGCATTATTTTACATTTACATTTGAAAAAATGACAAAAATGGCAATAACTAAACTTGACCTATGTAAGAACATGTATATAAATGAAATTAGAAATTGAAATGATATGAAATATCTAAGCATCGATATTATCGTTTATGTTAACTATCATAAAAGGATGAACATTCCAATATCAGGTAATCGTCTATCTATGCTTCCTTTTATGCTTTGCAAAAAAGATATTTCAACAATGATCACGTTTACAGCACCGTCCGGTTTCTTGGATTCATTTTTCACCATTCAGCAGGGACAGATTGGAGTGCCAGCCGACTCACGGATGAAAGGAGAAATGAGTAAATATGTGTTATTAAGTACCAGATTTATAACATTACTTCTCATATTAACTTGTGTGCGACTAATTGAAAATTGGAATACATCCGTGAAGATCTGCCTATGATCATATTTTGTAATAGCTTAATCAAAGTCGATTATGAATTAAGTACTTGTGGACAAAATCGGTATTCTATTTGCCATGTGTGTACATAATGCATGGATGTTTAATTGAATAGGTGCCGCGGACGCATTTAGATTCGCAGCCATGACATCGCTGATGGGGGAAAATCCACCACTGAAAGAAGTTACCGGTGAGGCAGCCACTAACACCAACAGTGGTTCCGCTACTGTTACCTTAAACTCAAATACTGGAACACAGGCCAGCACCGCAAGTGGCTCTTCAACAAGTACAAACAGTGGATCTATGGCAGTCCATGCCAGCAGTGGGCCCGTAACAAGCTCTAACCATGCGAACACAATAGGTACCTTAGAAATATTCATTATTGGTGGTTCCCACCTTTCGTCTTGGATACAAATGGAATTTACACAATGTTGTTTTAAAGTGCCATCGACATTTTACGGGCCTTATATCATTAATCATGTCAATCTGTCATGTTCTATTCTATTCGGAGTTAATTTCATATATCAGAAACTTCCAGACATGTGTTTTGATATTCGCCAGTTTGTTTCATCTGATTCAATTATCATATCATTGTTTGAAGATTTGTTTTGAGTTTGTGTCATGATTTCATTGAAAAATAGATGTTTCCCGCCTTTGCCCATAACGTTTTTATTTCATTTGTTTCACATCAAAGTAATTAAGATAAAAGACCATCTAATAACTATGTAAGTAATAACGGATGAATTTATCCTTCCTTTTTGACAGCAACACAGACGTCCAATGTTCATACCAATCAACCAACGCTCTCCAGCAGTGGTATTGAGACAACCCATTTAGCCCATGGAACCTTAGGAATAGGTATATTGGATTTAAGTGGTCAAGGTCCAATCATTGATATTCTTTCCACGTCACCACACCATGGTTCAATTTTGAAACATGCCTATTCAAAACTAACTTTAAAAAATCCTTCGAGAGGGTATAGTCCTAATATTGCGTCTTTTCTTTTTTCTGTTTTTCGTTGTCGACGTATTATCAGTGAAATTATCTCATTTTCATAGTTGGAAGGATATGAATGAAAAGAACCACTGAGTAGAAACACTACTAACCCATCTAGGATATCGTGTATAGCATAATCTTAAGTTCTCTTTATGTTTAGCTAACATGTACACAATGTTCGACTCTTTCGACAAACACTTTCATAAAAAAAAGAAAAATCATGTTGATAGATTTAGTTTAAAGCACACTACGCATGAAAGATCTAACTGGAATCATTTGGCTTTTGTGTCCCTTTTAACACCACCTAATATTCAATATCAATATAAATGTTTAGGAAACACCATGGAATCCCCATCACAACACCAACAAGGTGATGCAGGCTCAATCAACAGTCAAGGTAAGACAACATCAACCGATGCTTATATAGTAGCCATAGTTTCTCTTAAATAATACTCATTAATCTGTTTTTAGACATTATTTGCCTTATTGTTTGCATTGTTATATATTCCTTTACAAAAATAATATATAGATCTGATTTTAAAAAGATGACAGTTTTGAAAAAATCATAAATATTGGTTAACAAAAATAACACTTTTTGTCCTTTTTTATTCTTTAAGTCGTGTGTTTTGATTAATATTTGTATATCTCTATTTTTCTTACTTTTTCGGGTCTAGGCGCTGGCGTTACTTCGAATACGAATGGTAGGTGGATTAACATAGATAAAGTTTACAAGAATCACATAATAAAAGTATATCAAACTTGAATTTTGGGATAGAATGGCAACTGTTGAAACATTATGCGCCTTTTAACAATTACACAACTTCGCTCCAGTGTTATCCATCATTAAAACACTATTGAAACATAAAAATGGCTCTGCTGTGTAAACGAAAAAGAAAGTGATTTCTTTTATTATTATACCAGTATCCTTTTGACGTTTCAGAACAAATGACGTCCACCAATATCAATGCAATTAGCGATATTACATCACATCAGACACCCGATAACATGCAATGGATTCCACAGGGTACAGCTGATGCTACTACATCAGGAACTGATCCCGGTAAGTTGGAAGCATTTCATTTTTTGTATAACATATTCCGCATCAGTCGTAAGTTGTAAGATTCATAGGTGGATCTAGAGAGGGTGCACCTGGATCCGCGCCTGAGATATGTACATGTAAAAGGACGTAGTTATTCGGCATTCGCCAGTAGCCTCTGCAAAAAGAAATGAATACAGAAACCATGTTATTATATTTTGTCAGCTGTTTATCATCTTATTATTCCTGTTTGTTTCTTGATTCCAGATCATTTTTTGAAAAGAACATTTGTATTTTTTTCAAAACATACGTTTGTTTTACTAACAAGAATATGAAACTATATTTCTGTTTTACAGCAACAGTTCAACAAGCTTCAAAATTAATCGATCTCATCATAGCAAACGAAATGACCCATCAAAACGCCCTAGGTGGCGCACACCAAGCATCAGGAGGAAATATAGGTTAGTTTACTGTCACAAACATTGTTCAAGCTCATTTGTTAATTCTGCACGAATTCTGTGATGAAGTAAGAACGACCGATAAGTTTACCAACAATTGTAAGAACAGCATCGGTAAACATGTCTGAGTTAACGTGTTCCGTGTAATACACTCTTTCTACAAATACTTTGTTTTTTATCATATATCCCATTAAATGAAAAGAAGTATATTGCAATATTACAAAACCATTTTATAAAGGTAACTCTTTTTTCAAGAATCCACACAAGAATGTTAAAAAAATGATTTGCACTATGAATTGAAATAATTCGCAATCTGTGCGTTCAGATTGATCGATAAAAAGTATAGTATCAGTAAACGATATGATATCAAACTGAATGACAGTATAAACTGTTTTAGATTCTACAAGCGCTGACATGATGGCCTCACTGCTAGCAGACCAAGTCATGGCAAAATCTGGTCAGTATGTTTTCGTGTCTTTACAAAAAATGATGAAAAATTACTGTTCTGGCATGGTTGAGGCAGTCAAATCAAATTTGATTTTCAACTAATAATAATTGAGAGAATTCGACAGAATGATAATGTGTTGAGGGAACAAAGTCGGCACGTCGATATTTGAAAAGTCCACCGTGATAGAGTGGTATTTTGGAAAATATGTAGATGATGACGAGCTACCGAGTTTATTCAAATGAATAATCTTGAGCAATTTTTAAGGTTGCAGAGATCAGATGTTTCTGTTGCGCATTTACGACCGAGACTTAAACAAAACGTAGTGTAAAAGGATTATAGTGTAGCCTAAAACATTGGTCTCGTACACTACGTAGGTCAGTGCTAGTACGCTCCACACTGGTCATTTGTCTTGTGAAGGTGACCGTGTAGTCTTCAAAACGTTCCACTCTAATCTTCTACTGGTTGTGTTATAAGAACTTCTATTCTGTTGACATTATCAACTTTAAGTAAATGTTCCAAAATATTATATGTATCTATATCTTCAAGAAAGATCTTCTCAACAACTCCAGAATACTCATATTGCGAAGGTGGCATACAATAATGATCTTGACCCACTTTCAAGGTCATGGGTGTCGAAAATTTGAATAGTTCCTTAATAACTGAGCTATATAGGATAATGACATAAGATTCTTGGATGTACGTTTAAAACAAGATCACTGAGGTGAAATGTGTTAAGATCAAACGATATATTTGCAATAACACATAAGCCCATGAAATTCATAGTGCTTACATAGAATAATTCTTGAAAATGGACAAATGGACATCATGACAGGGAAGTTGTGTCGTATGGAAGGTTCATAATGCCGTTTGTATTACCGTTATATAACTTTTTAAAAGAATCGATACTCGGATATTTTTCCCTTATCCTCCTCCTCCTTCTGAATACTACGTTATTTACTAAATATCTAAATATACCAAACTGGTGCGTTGGCGTTTTTTATACGCCGCCGGAGGCTGTCGTATATTGGCGTCATCTTCTCCGTCTGTCCGTCCGTGTCCATTTCTTGTGAACGCAACTCCTCCTAAACTAATCATCAGATTTTCATGAAACTTGCTCAATGTCACTACTACAATGGGTAGATGTGCATGAAGGGGCGATATTTCAGTTATTGATTTTTGTAAGATTTATGCCATTTTCAACTTTGTATCTGTAGCTTGCTCTTAGTGGATCTTTATATTTTGTGGCTGCGTATATTGTGTCCACGGCACTCTTGTTATTTTTCTTCTTCTACTTTTTGTAAATTATCAAGCAAATATGATAAATCTGCTCATGTTTAAAACATAGAACTACAAAATTTATCTTATATTTCGGTATCATATATATATAGATAAAATCATGATGCATTATCTTCTCAGGTCAATCGCCAAATGCCGCTCTTACCGACGCACTTTCAAATGTCAATTCCCAGACAGGTCAAGGTAAGTCACATTATTGATTAGAAAAGTTGATTTTCACATTCAAACATATTAAAATGGTAAACGTTAAATCGCATTCAATGCGGTCTTATTTTTTTTATCATTTTTCAATTCATTTAAATTGAAACAGTTAGAAAAAATGGGCTTAATATTTTGAATTTAATGAAAGTGATTGGAAATTTATTTTCCAGTTTTCCTTTTCTAAAACACAACACGAATTTGCATTTGCTCTAATTCAAGATTAATCGCATCGCAACAACAAGTTCTTATTTATATAAAGTGAGATAAACAAATACTCCTTATTGTTATAACGTAAAATGGAAATTGAATCAAAAGAACACATTTAATGGATCAAAAGTTCTAAATTTACTCAAGAATTTAGAAACCTTATTCAACTCATTATTTATTTAAGGAAAAATCATTTCTTTTTAGCGTATTCATTCATCATGTAAAAAGGAAAATAGATAACGCAATAAAATAATCAAGATGTGGCCAGAATTAACTTACTATTGCAGCTCTGAAAAATAAAGGAAAGGAAACATACATATACATAGCTAGAAGTAAGGGAGATAATCACCTCAATCAATATAGGAAAGAATGGGCAAAATGGGGAAAAAATGGTAGAAAACTAATTGAAAAATGAAATTGAAACCACCATATGTCAGTCTTCCAAAGACTACCATTTTAAAAATCAAAATCAGAAGAGGAATTCATGTATTACCTGGGCATTTCATTTCCGCCAATATTTCTCAGTGTTTGAGATTTGAATATAGTCATGTGAAACCTGCATTGATATTGCATGATATTCATGAAAGTGTGTGTGTGGGACAGGGGTCAGTATGGTGTGGAGGTCTAGAAAAATGTGTGTGATGAAGGGTATGTGTTACTTTGTGTGTCTTTGTATGAGTTTTTGAACTTTTTGTTGTATGATGATGTAAGAATATTGACCTTGTAAACATGTTGGTGCTAAAATTTTACAACGGCGAAAGTTTTTGGGTAATGTATATTGATATAAATGTAAAGAAAATGTATCATAAAATAGAAAAAATAAATACATATCAATTTTGATATTCTCAGAAAAGTTAACGGAAAATGATCTCGTTTCAGATTCTATAAATAAAGTGGCATCAGTTCTAGCAGATTTGATCGCCATATCTCCTCAGAATATGCAAGGAACCGGAAGTGCAGGTAAAACTAATTTATCTTTCCTGACAAAAATACTGAATAGTATTAATCAAATTTAGAGCGAAAGTTCACAATGGTCTTTCCTATCTTGCTGACATCAAATGAATTTCAAATATACATTAAACGAAGTCCTGGGTACCATGTAGCCAAACATGAGAAGGTGGTATGGTGCTTAAGGAACATATAGGCGAACGGTTTTGATTCCGAAATGCATTGGATCACCTGCCAACCGATTTTCTTCCATTTGAAGATAATTTGTTCGATTCCATCATTAAATTTGTATTTTACATTGAACATATTATACGTAATAAAAAAATAATATGTCATATCTTTTATCATAGGAATTTATTTTAAATGTTTTCATTTGTTTTCCCGAACAGAAAGTGTAGAAATGAATGTTATTCATATGTTTTCGAAATCTTATATTGCAGTTAATACAATGAGTCACGGTGATAGTGGGGCATCGATGTTTGAAAACACGCATAACGCTGGTCATGTCCAACATATGTCTGGAGCAGGAATCAGTCATGATATCGCAGGAGAGGGACAAAATCAAAATATGGCAGGATTCACTAATAATCAGGGTAGGTTTAAGTTACGAGTTATTGACAAAATATCTCATTGCAGATTTGAATTAGAGAAAATATATCGAAGTGATGGTTATATTACTTACGAATGGAAAGTTGATCCGAAAATAAAAATAAATTGGTAAATATCCCTGTTCTTTCGACGCCTATTGTGTTTTGCCATAGTACATTCACTGTCAAATAAATTATAAAAGTCCTGTTTGGTAGGACATGCTATGGAGATAGATAATTTGACCTCATGTTGACCACAAATTGCTTGCTTATATGTTTAAAAATGGACTTTTTCAGATTTTAACATGGCAGTTTCTTCAGCACATGGACAAGCGTCGTCGCAAGGTAGTCCTACGCCAGTTGTATAGTGCTTAGATCAGCTTCTATTATTAAAGATATCTGCTTTTATTAACACAAATTACCATCTTCTTCATTTATCATTTCATCGCCTTCCCGCGTACAAAGGATTAACATTATAATATTGTATATACCAGCTGGTATTGTAAATTTATTAGAAATAGGATCAGCTTTGAAACATATATATTCCTCCGTGAAAGACAATCTGTATTCAGTGGATGTTGTGTGATTTAATAATTAAAGGGTGACGCCCATTTAAGTGTTTGTCAATTTATTCCCTATGCAAGTCTTTTAAAACGATGTGTGTTAATTTATGTAAAGTACTCATCACTCATACATTGAGTATTTATCAATAAAAACGAAGAAACAAAAATTCTTCATTTATGGTTAAAATTCATGAACATATCGTGAATACGGTGACTTGCCAGAAAATATTGAGAGGAAATCTAATTTTCAAGTTAGCAGAGAGGAGGAAACTAATACTGCAAGCAACTTATGGTAAATCTAATGAAACAATTAATATTTTTGTAAGCTGGTACTGACATCAGCAAGAAAAGGTACTAAGGTCTTATCAAGCAAACACTGCAAAATAATCCAGTTAACACCACAATTTATAGGCTTGAAAAATTGCTTGAATAATACACTGATACTCTCCCTTTAACTAACGTTGGTAGATTAGTATTCCTATTACATTATACGTTATCTTAACTAAAACATATATGCTTTTAAACCTGTATATCTTTATACAAAAATAGTTCTAGGGTATAGCATACCTATATCATATGTTACAGTCGCTTATATACTGTGTATATTATATTTTCATATCTATAAATATTACATGGCTTGTTTAACATACTCTGCATTGTAATATTTTCCTTTTATATATTTCTATTATCGACGACGAGGACCTACAAACATGTATGAATGCCATCACTATTAGTGGAAGAATATGTCTTTTCTCATCCCTGATCTTTTATACATGATGACTCATTACAATACAGAATATTTCACTTAACACATATGTAAAATGTCTTACCAACAAAAATCAATTGAATTACAGTTCTTTATCTTCAACGTTATCAAAGTAATACTTAACATATTATGTTGTCTCCAGGCGATCAATCACATTATTGAGATTCTCTACATTAAAAACAGCCAAGTTACTCTTCCATCGAGGCACATGTAACGACAAAGTAACGCTCAGTCTTGTTGGAAAATTATAGTAGAAAAAAACGACACGTGGAAATAGTACATTCAAATGCGAATTTAAGTCAGACAAAAATGATAATGAAGTAACCTGCATAATACCGCTGTTCCGTTTTTCGAAGACAACCACGAAACATTAAAAGTATTGTAAAACACAAAGTACCCAAATATAGCATAGAATGTTATATACTTAAGTCCAACACGATGGCACATATTATCTTTTCAATTGGATACTCACATAGACCAACATGGTTAGTCGATTAAATATAAAAGTTTAGTGATTATCCTTGATGCAAAGGGATATTTAAAATAATCAGTTTGTATGGATACATTCTAACAGGTAAAAAAAACCAATATACTAAACCCGTTCTGGTCCTGCCTATACGATGGCTATTCGAAATATTTGTAAAGATGTTGAATAAAAATCAAAACCAAAAATATAATTGAATTAAGGGAGATAGGATACTGAATATCATTAGACAAGGATAAGTGATTTGATATATAAGGTTTTCAATACTCACAAAATAAACATGCATTTCATGATATTTAAGATATATACATTTTTCTGATATAATGTTAACGTTAAGTAAAAATTATTCTGAATATAGTGTATCTAAAAATACATTTATGTCACGAGAAAACCCGTCAATTAAAGAGAGTTGATCATAAGACGTAATACATTTTACAGAATGTATTCATAAAATCCTCAGCCATATTATTCATATGTAATTTGATAATCAGAACAAAATCATGTGTTATGTACATATGTTAATTACAAAAAAATCATTTGTCAGTGATTTAACTATGGAAACCTATGTACACGAACAAAATGGTTATCAAAATAATTTTTGCGACAGTATTTTAAGATAGAAATGCATTTATGTACAATATAGCGATAATCGTATGGCATAAAACTATGTTCTGGGTAGGCAAGGTCCAAACATGATACATATTACCCTCTAAATGTCAGAGAGACTATGGGCCCCCTCATCGCGGTTTAGAACTGACCCTCTACAACGTATCTAGGTTTTTTCCGCTTTAGGAGATTGTTTATCTATCCACCACTTTAGAGTAGCCAGTCATTATGGTTTCTCAGTGTAGTATGATCTTCTTATTTGATTTATCGATCTGGAAATTAGATTGTTTACTTTCCGATCTGGTTAATGTCCTGAATTCTAGCATTTTTTTTATCTGTATTTCTTGTGTTTAGTAAGTCAGGTACCAACACCTCGATTTTCTTGCTTATATGTAATGGTCAATTTAATTCGGATAATAATCTCGGATAACTTTTACATGGGGAATGACAACTTGTCATTTAAGACAGCAACGGAGCTTCAAACTCAAATTTGATGTAATTAAGCAAAACCGAACCACATAAAGATTTTGCGGGGAACCTATGAAAAATTACAAGGGAATTAAAGCCAGGTGTTCTGGATGAGAAACAGCTTTTGTTCCATCAGCGACAGCCTCCAAGTAAATCTAACTTATGTTACGTTCGTTATTGAAAACAAAAATAGAGTTATACTTAGATACAGAAGATAAAGGTAATTAATTAAACAGTATTTTTGTACTTCTAGGAATTGTTAGTGATGCTGAAGGGTTTAATTGTTGAAATCTGAGGTGACTGAAAAATATAAAAGAAAACATAGTAGATGCACTTCCTTCGATATTCGACCAATTATATTATTTTAAAAATTGATTTTTGCTTCAAAAGGCCGTCAAGGGCATGCATATTGTAATCTTTCTTAACTATGCCATGTGTATGTAATTTATCAAAGCCTTCCACGTCAATCAGGAAGATTGAACAAGAGACAATCAAATGAATAACACCTTCCAACACAAAGTTACAATAATAGACATATAAGCATTATAGCATTTCTTAGAAATCTTCTTGATGATTTTTTTATTTACCCTTTGGATTGTCCAATGGTATTATGACTACTAAGGGTGATTTCTGCTCATGATTTTGGTTCGTTATTCTTCAAGTTCATACAAGACCAAATGCCTGATGAATAAATGGCGACACTTGAGATAAATGTACTGTTTCCTGTCATTATTCGTTAGCAGAATGATATCAAGTGAGGCACAGTACAATTTAATTCTTCCTTACCTGTGAGTTTGTTGTATTGGTGGTATTAAGGGTGTTGATGTCCATAGTCAAACACTTCTGTGACTATTTACTGACTATTCTTCTTATATGTTGTACATTATCACCTTCAGTAAACAATATACAAAGTACATTTTAGCTACCATTGCAGACATCAGGATGGTTGTAGCCAGAAGTCTTGTTGATAAACGGTATGTTGTAAAGTGAAAAAAACAGTTGTAAAGACTTGTTTGTGCCAAATTTTATCTCGTCCTTGGAAACTTATAATGACTCCAATACGTGGGCGTAGTTGAAAAAGAGACCGTACAGTTTATATCATACAGAACAGATAGATTGTTTTCTCTTTAATTTTATCGCTGTTGTACATTTGTACGTGTACCTGGCCTTATAGCATCTTCCAATATATGGCCACAATGTAATAAGAGAATCAAATGCAGTCAAGTCGGAATGTTTAAAGGCAGGAATAATTCAGAAAGTTGTTTATGAAAAAATAAATGAAAGACAAGTCTAATAACACCAGTCAGATAAAGAATTAAATAAGAAAAATCATAGGCAAATAATGAACCAGGTAACTATACTGGTAGTGTTGTCTCTGCTCTGTATATGCATGCCTGTTGCATTTCTTATGCAATATCACGAAGTTCATTGGTTACCAATGTTACCTGACTTGTAAAAAAAGAGAGAAGAAATGCACAATTAAACAAACAAAATAGTGTGTACAGACAGAACAGTGAATCCATTAACTAAGTCGTGAAAAAACGAATGCAAAATATTTCAACAATATATATCTAAAACGTGTCGAAGTACAAGGACAACACTATAAAGATTATTATGAACAGTAAGGGTATGAGGTTTCATCCACACCAACCCAATGTAATTTTACAGCAAATACAGGAATGACAATTACTGTATTGATTGCGAGAACGACCTGTAGACATAATACCAAGCATTGAGCACATCTGTACGTAAATCCTGATGACGAGCGTTTCAATTTTCCATGGTCATAAGTCAAGAATTCAGTCACCATCGCAAATAGTGACGTCGAGAACAAGATAAATTTTGAATTAGATTATAAATTTGCAACAACATGTTTCGGAATATATTTGGTTTTCACACAGGGTCAAAATCATTCGTTATACATGATCGACATCAAGTGTCAATGTTCTAAGTGCATCGAATTTGAAACCATGATCCATGTTAAACATATATTACCAAATATATATAATCAATTTCAATATTTTTTCTTTACATGTAAAAATCAATTATTACTATAGAGATCACATCGACATCGAATCTTTATAGTTTGCATTTAAATACAAATCCTGAATCGGGTGGTTAGAAAAGGCCTTAGCTTTTCTGTTTTGACAGCTATATCAGAAATCAAAACATGAAATATTAGGTGTACATTTCTGTAAAAGTATAATATGAATACTACATTCAAAGTTCTCTTATTCATTCATTCATTCATTCATTCATTCATTCTAAAACAAAACAAAAAAAACAAAAAAAAAAAAAAAAAAAAATGCCTTCATTAAAAATTAGTAAATAACGATAATATATTTCATAACTTTTGCACTATCATAGTTCTCGGACACGTTTAATATTGTACTGTTTGACGCTCCTTGAAAAGACCACAATTATTATTGTAATTTGCCTCTGTTCGGAAAGTCATACTTGACAATATCATCCTCTCGATATAACACTGATGAAGTCTTCAAATGACGCAACAGTAACTAATGTCTGACGTTTACATAATGTCATGATTCTGAAATAGCATAAACAGAACACAGTAAAATAACAGCCAATATGGTCATATTATGAAGAAGTCTTTGCTGAGTGTCATGCATGGATTATCAAGAGCCAATCGATCATACTTTCTCCTGTCAAGGTTAAGGGATATCTTATTTTAGTACTGATATTATCAAAGCCAATCAAATCACTTGTAGACAAACGAAAGTAGAGAAATCAAATATCTCCAAATAATTAGATATTTCGAATGCATCCTAAATAATATCTGCCTTAATCATTAGCATGTTTTCAGCTTTAATACTTTGTTCATTGATAGAAAATTAAAAAAAAGAAAAACTAAACTGCCTTGACTTTTCACATTATCTGTGATTAAGGATATAATTACCAGTATTATGTTTTTATATAATTTGTAGTCCAAATGTTTACAGATTTCTGTGTAGGAGAGTTAACTTTAAGTGGTCAAAGGTGTCATCCAATTCATCTTGGTGGCATGTTTGCTAAGACCTAAATTACATTGTATAAGCAGACTTATAACATATTGTTGTGACATCAACTACAATGGAAACGAGAGAGGTATGACAATAGATCTTAACAAAGACATAAAAGTCAATTTCATTGTTTAACAAAACATTAGAATTAGCTACATTAGAGCCACATAACGAATGGAAAACTGTTTCGTTATTCTAGGGCAGTGATACTTAGGCTCTAGATTATTAAAATATAGCTAGGGAATCTGCGCAAATTCAATTAGTTAAAAAATGTATGCAATTATACGGAAAGAAGGTCAAGTGCCTATGTATATTCTGAACCTTGCCACTGAGAGCGAGTCAATTTTCTCTCAGAGTTTGTAAACTGTGTTTCTAAATACAAGTAATTCCATGGTTTTTGAATGGTCTTATACAAATGTGTAGAGTGTGTTTTTAGATCATTGTTTGTCGTATTTATCGTTACAAATGATCTCTTAACTTCGTAGGCATACCCTAGCATATCAATTAATTAAACATTGACGGACCGGCTTTATAATCTTTCACAAATCCTGAGGGATTCTTAAAACACATCTCTTAATGTACATAAAAAAAGAAGTCATTTATGAAAAACGATGCTTGGCACAAGAGAAAGGATTTGAGATTTAGTTTATAACTGCCAGAACTCACTTTATTGTATATCTACTTTGAATACAATAATCGCTTTTGAGTGCATGAAAGAGGACACATATCTACATATCTTCGCCCAAGAGAGAGATGCAACGCCTACATAGGTCGACAACGCTGTGCTGACGTAATGTTTCCACGAGGGTTCAGATCAGCGCCGTGAATGCACGCGGTCTTATCTAAATAAACCAGTATTTAGGTAAATAAATTATGCATGTCCCTGAAATCTATTTTCCCAAAAACAGGAATCAACTTGCCAAAGCCACCAGCCAATACATTACTTTTGACGTCTACTCAGCGTCTCCACTCACAGATACTGTCTGGTGGGGCTTCACACTCCATGGGAACACAGAACGCATCCCCAGGTTCAGGAACCATTCCAACATCGACCACTTTGTCGAAAGATAACCCCTCACCAGATCATACCCTAGCAAACGAAGGTATTTTCCCACTATTTAGTGACCGAAAACATCTTATTCTGATTGACTATATATGTCACAAAGTGGTTGAAAGTCGTAAAAAGGAGAAAATTAAAGTTTCAATTATATCAAGGAAATATCACCCACGTCAAGTTTATCGTATTCATGTTTGATAGGTTAAACTTAATTTTAACAGATATTGTAAACCTCTGCGTAGCTGCAATAGAATGAAAATATGTGTTTCATAGTAGTTTCTTAATCTCAATATTAATGGTGAATGATGATACGTGGTGCCTGTTTTAAAAAAATCATGTTTCTGTCGAAATTTATTTTTTTTTATTTTGTTAATTTTAACAGATATTGTTAACCTCTGCGTAGCTGTAATAGAATGAAAATATGTGTTTCATAGTAGATTTTTTTATCTCAATATTAATGGTGAATGATGATACGTGGTGCCTATTTTAAAAAAATCATGTTTCTGTCGAAATTTATTTTTTAACAGGGAACATTTCAAAAGAAAACTATAGAAGTTGCATATCTGGTTATCTTTTGCAGATTTTGACTTTCCTATGATTGAGACATCAGCCAAGAATACAGCCAGTCAATTACCAGGTATGAGAACCAATAAAAGTTATCATCGATTAACAGGGCATAAAAATGGTAAATTGTTATCAACGGTTAAATGCACGATGTTTGCTTGTCGACGTATAACAACATTTACCATTCAACATTGTGCTTTGTTTATGTAGGAGAGTTTTGATGTAAAAGATTTTAATCTATTTGACACCAACCACAATTGTCGTTTGCTTGTCCAGACCGTTTCTGTCGAAATCAATCTAAAATAATTCCATTGGAGGGAACATCGCATTCTAATATTAAAAGCATACTTTCAAATTTGAAGAAAATTTGCTTCTATATATATGTATTGTCACTACTTACATTGTGAGCTCCCTGAGACGGAATTTGGATCCAATATTGATATTTCCCACCAACGAAAAACGGTTTAACATCGGTATCATCAGTATTCAGTTTAGCTGATATCTAACCCATTATTCGCTGCGTTTGAACTAGATGCATGTTTCCCACAAAATTCTTACTGAGTCAACTTCAGTGTTTCATGTAATTGAAAAAAAAATATCCAAAGGACGATTCTTAGTTGCAGTTTATTCTATTTTATTAGTTGATATGTTTATTGATTAATGGATTTCTGCCATTCCAGCTCCTTCAGGACGGCTCCAGAACGATATTCTTATAAGCATCGCGGAGCTGTCTGGGAAATTGATAAATACACAGCAAAGTAGATCTCAGCACCAATCAATCGTGAAAAACACAACAGGTAGGAACCGTTAACATTGGACTTGTAAGTAGATTATTAAAATAATAGAACCTTAAGTGGTAAATGTTTGTTCATGACTTAACGAAATATACAGTCAGTGTTTCAGTGTTACAAATTCCGCGCATCCATTCTCCATATGTAACTGTTTAAATTTTCAGAGTATTACAGCTCTCATACAAGACAGATTTATTATACATGAAGTGTAAATGTGTATTTCATAGTAATCTTCGTAGTATGATATTCTGATATGACACCGCTTCACAGATGTAAAAATATTTTCTTACAGATGTATGCGTAACACCTGACTGCATTCGCGCAGGTAAGCATTTTTTGGTTACCTAGTACCTATTCAATGTCTTCCTTCAGATATTAATGCTCAGTATTAGGACGGTTTGGTATTAATGCTTTCTTTGTAGCTTTTCGAGATATTTCTCTTTCTAGATATTTTCGTTTCTATGTCCTACATGGTTTTTCAGTCTCACATTAATAATAACCTAATTCTGATTCTCTGTGCAATATGAAGCTGGGTGTGTTTGATGCTCGTTAGTTTGCTTGTTGGTTCTGTTGTTACATACCCTGCTTTTATTTAAGAACGTGACATTACTTACTTTGATTGAGTAAGATGTACATGTCAGGTGTCGTCGATGAAGCAGAAGACGCTTACTCTTCAGAACAGCTGCCTAATTCTCTTTGTACCATTTACAGAAGTCTCCATGCAAATATTTCTATTGTTAATATTTTGTTTTAGTTTAATTGAATTTGAATTTAGACTTAAATTAACATGTTGATATTTTCTACTTGCCTTTTGCATAATGATCCAGATTGAGGATGAATTATTGCTTATTTCAGATATTTTCTTATTTACTTGTACATTCTGTTATTCCTCATAGCCACGCAAATAAAGTTGAGTCGAGATCTTACTGCCAATCCTTGCGAGGATTTTTATCAATATACATGTGGAGGCTGGCTTGACAGGAGTCGTATCAGACCTGACCTGGACAGCAGGAGTGTTAAGTGGGAGCTGATGGAGCGAGTAGACCACAAATTACATAGTGAGTTGTTCCTTATACATTTCCATTTAGATGAATCACTCTTTCATACAACCTCTTCCCCCCTCCACCCACCCCCCCCCCAAAAAAAAAAAAAACATTAAAAAAGTTTATAAAAACAAACAAAAATGGTTCACTTTTGCTAGAGAAACTGTTTGTCGCTTACTCAATTAATTCAAACAGATAGTGATTTTATTTAATCTATTGCTATTTCAGTCAAACTTTTTTGTAATGAAATCTTAAATTTATGTAACTGTTACCGGTAGGAAACTTACTTTCTGCTACAATATGTACTCCACAGGGTTGTTGAGCCAGTCTGTGAAAGTGCAACATACACTAGCTGAACAGAAAGCCATCACATTCTACAAATCCTGTATAAATGAAGGTAAATCTAAAGAGACATTCCAAATGATATTGTCCAAGTCGACATTTTTTTTGCATCTAATGATTCGCAACGACTTTCTCAACTCCAGAATACACTGACAAAAATGGACACAGTTTTCAGACCACTGAAATTGCGAATTGTTTCAAATCTTAGAAGCTCTAAGTTCTTACATGGTCCAGGTATGTGTGGGATATACCAACGCGATTGTTTATAAAACTTTTTTTTAATTGCCACACAAGTAAGCGAAAATAAACAGTCCGGGTACAGTTCTCCACCACTGTGATATTTTTTATTCTTTTAAATACCACACCTTTATATTTTATATATTCGAAAACAATGAAGATTGATAATTTAAACCACGAAGAAAATTGATTTTGTTGAAAATTGATTTCAAAAACATTATTATCATGTTATGACATAAACTAATGCCATCAATGTATTGTACAATATCTTTGATGTAGGTTCAATGGAAAAGTTAGGATTGGCTGTTATTAAGCCTCTGATCAAAGATGTTGGTGGCTGGCCGATTCTTGATACCAACTGGACTGACAGCAACTACAAGCTTGAGAAGATGTTGTCTGCTGTTCGGAAATATACCATAGATACACCTATATTTAGCATGAGTGTAGAGTCTGACCCGCATTTCCCCGAACAACACATAATACACGTGAGAATTTGGTTGTTTAATTGCTAGTTTTGTTAATATGAAACGAATTGATTCGCTCTCATCACAGGAGAAAACAGACACGCAAAAAGAACATTTTATTTCTTAGCATTTCAATTTATCTTTTTTGAAACATTAATGTATGGGGTTAATAGAAATACCGTCAGTTATACAGATTTTGATTTAACAAGCAAGCGTAAAGTACATTTTCCGTTTGATTATATAATTTGATGAAATCTATTGTCATGAAACTGAGTGTGAATCACTACATTTGGTCATTGTATGATATTTGATATTTTTATAAATACAATACCATATATTGATATTGAATGTCATTTTTCAGGTAGAACAGCCAGATCTTGGCATGCCAGATCGGATGTATTACCTGGCAGACAATCAACTCTTCAGGGCCTATTTCACTTATATGCTTGAGGTCTTCAAGGCGCTTGGCGCAAACCCGGCAACAGTTGTACAGGACGTCAAAGACGTGTTAGAATTCGAGACACAGCTGGCAAATGTATGTATGAATATATGTAGATTTGTAGATAAAATTGTTTTGTAACTGTTTTAGGATATTAACTTTGAAACTGATTAATGCACTACATTATCATCTAAAGTAGTAGTAAGTATAAAGAGGGGGCCGAGTTCTGTAGGGGTTTCACCAAGAATTATTGCTTCTGTATACAATCTGTTTACAATGTTTGTAATGGAATTTTCTTCGGTGTCTATAATGTAACATCATAGATACCAGACCTGGTCTATTGTCCTAATTGCAGCACTTAAAATCTATGTGGGTTTCTTTTCGTTCCTTTTTATTGCTTCTCGCTGTTGATGTCCGTTCAAAATCTTTATCTCATTAGAGGAATTGTTGAAGAAGTAAAATAGTTCTTTAGAGTAACACTAAACAAATCCTCTTAATTTTCTGTTCTACTAAAACAAGCAATGATTTCAGCTAACTGAAGAAATTGACGAACACAACGAACACGCTAATGATAGAAGAATGACGATTGATCAATTGACACAGGCATTTCCTGGGGTAAGTCATCATGTAAATGTATCAATATCAGATGTTAATGATATCTATAAATATCAATTGATGCTGTAGATAGACCTATAACATAGGGCGGATTCATACTTTTTTTTCAAATTAGATTGCTGCTATAACTAAGACACAATAAAAATACAACAACACTACTAAATATATACCATGCATACATTCCAAACAACAAAATGGAGCATGAAATGTATTACAAAATGTAGAACTTCGTTATTTCGATGTCGGCGTGACTGTCGGAAAACTTCAAGTTCCAGTTTATATACTGAACTATGATGCATTATGGTAAGTGCTTGTTTTCCCTTTTGAATGGAAGAAGGCCAAGGTTACACTTATTTTTAAAGCTGGTGACCCTACCCTAGTCAATAATTACAGACCTGTGTCTGTATTATGTGTCCTCAGTAAGATATTGGAGAAACATGTACATAATACTTTTTATGATTATCTCTCCAAGAAGCAATTATTAAGTGACTGTCAGTTTGGTTTTCGTCCTCATCATTCCACAGATACAGCTCTGGTGAGCGTAGTAGACAAATGGTTACAAAATATAGATGAAGGATTTTTGACAGGTGCTGTTTTTATCGACCTGCGAAAGGCATTTGACACCGTTAATCACTCCGTTCTTTTACACAAACTCAAAGCATATGATGTGTCTCCTCTTTCACTTAAGTTCTTTTTATCATATCTATCAAATAGATCACAATCTGTATGTTACAGTGGTGTGATGTCTGATTTTTCACCCATTAGTATTGGTGTGCCTCAGGGCTCGATACTTGCGCCTCTATTGTTTATTTTAAATATAAATGATTATCCCAAATGTTTGAACCATTCCTCAGTACCTATGTATGCTGATGACACCTCACAGAGTGTAAGGGATAAATCAATTGATTCATTAGAAATGAAAATGACAGAGAATCTTCAATGTACTTAGTCTTAAGCTTAGCAAAACTTAGTGTATGTTGATTGGATCAGCTCAGAAATTAGCCAAATGTCGTGAGCTGAAAATTTCTGTAGACAACTTATCTATTGAAACTGTACAATCCGCAAAACTTCTTGGTGGTTATGTGGATAACTGTCTATCTTGGAAAGAACATATTAATGAAATTTCCAAGGAAACTTCAAGGAAGATAGGTGTACTTAGACGGATAAGGCCATTTATGTCAAATGATGTGCTTACCAAAGTTTATCAAAGTATAGTTTTCCCTCACTTCATTTATTGTTCGGTAGTTTGGTGTGAAGTTAGTAACAAATCTTATATCCAGAAGATTTCTACACTACAGAAAAGGGCAGCGAGAATTTTATTGAAGGTGAAAGATGTTCTCACTCCTTCTAAATTTCTTTTTAAACAATTAAAATGGCTACCTATTGAAGAATATCACACTTTTAGGAAAGCAACTCTAGCCTTCAAAATTTTACATGGAGATACCCCTTGTGTAGTCTTTTTACCTATGTCAGGGATGTCACTTCAAGAAACACAAGATCTTCAGTTTTGAACAAATTTGATATTCCGTTAGCTAGAACAAAGTATTTTAAAAGCTCATTTGTATATACTTGCTCATTTTTACTAAATGGTATCAGTGAAAATCTTAGAAATTCTTGTAGTGTGGCTGTTTTCAAACATAAATATCTACAGGAGCTCTTCTCAAAATTTTAGATTTTAGCTTTGCAACAATAATTGATATTTGTGATATCTGAATATATTTTACGCCTGTTTTCATGTATCTTACAGTTACAATATTTCGATGACATTATAATATATCTTAGTCAACTATGTATTGTAATAATGTTTGTTCTACATTGTATCTTATAATTAATTAATATTCATAATTTATGTATTTTATGTACCGGTAACATCCAATGTAACATCTTTCTGTGATATGTGTATATATTTTACGGCAGGGCCATATTGTAAACTAGACTTGTCTAAATATGCAACCCTGGATAAATAAAAGATATTATTATTATTAATAATAATAAGGTGGCGTATATTTCTTGGTATCATCGAACTAGTTTAAAATACCACACTGTTTTTTCAATTTAACGACATTATATTAAATAACGGTGCTTATTTATAGCTGGACTGGAATCATTACATTTACAACATATTTAGTATGGAACAAGTCCGAATTCCCATCCACTCCAGTGATATCGTTATTGTAAGCAATCCCGCGTACTTCCGGAACGTCATAAACCTGCTTCGGAACACTTCAGCACGGTACGTTTAACAGCTTTGTTTAATCAACACATGATTAACCTTTGCGTATAGTACCGGACGGTGACACGTAGAAGAGTTTCATGGATAAATGTGAGAAGAGAAGAATCTTAATTCAAATATCAAGAAAAGTGTTGTCTTTTTTCGATTTGCAGTAAAAAGATTGGATTGAAATCTGGGATAAACAAGTAATAAAGGGTGATAATTGGCTGATTGTGTTTTTAACGATTTAAATTAACTTTAATATCATTGGTAATTGTACCCACGGAGATTTAATTCTATATTCGGTAACAAATTTTCTCGGATAAGAAATATCATTCTACATCACGAAAATGCATATTTTGTTTATCGAATTCCAATACAGGTGAGCGGATTTATACAGGTGTAAGAAGTATGGGGTTTCATGAAATTATATAAATAAGTCTAAAATGATAATTTCCCTTAAAAAACAAAATGAAAACAATAAAAAATAAAAAGAATAAAATGGAAATTTGAGAAAGTGAAAAAAATCTCGAATTTTGCTCGTTTTATTCTTTTGATTCCAAAAATCTCGATAGATTTTCCCTATCACACCCAGTTTAGCATTCTTTATATTTATTTTATTTATTATTTCGTCGTTTTATAAAGCTAAATACAAAAGTTCCTTTTGATGAAAATGAAGCGTGAGATAAACCTACGAAATATTATTGTACATCTCCAATAACTGAAAGTGATTTCATTGTAGTTGAATAATAAGTAATTTTTGAGCAGAACTCTTTTTATATTTTGCTTTGTGTTTATTTATTAATAAATTTCTTGTTGTTTGTTTTTGTTGTTTTATCAATGTACATAATGATACTTATTTCCATCAATGTGCATCATTTCAGTGTGGAGGCGAACTACATTAACTGGATGTTGATAAAAAGTGTAATCACGGCGCTACCGGCAAACATTAGGCAATATCACCATTCGTTTACACGGGTAACTACAGTAACGTCATGTCATTTCGTTGCATGAAGCAATAACAATTACATACACATTAAATAGATTTATTTACATGATTCTATCCTCTGTACTATACAAATATTCAGATTCTTCAAAGCACCTGAAACGTTACTCATCACATGGTCTTCTCCTTGTACTTTTCTATCCCTCCGTGTAAATCTTTCTTGTATTCATATAGTGCCCTGGTTTTATGGAATATCAGTTTGGATTGTGTGCTGTTGGATTGATAGATTGTGTTGTCGGAACTGAAAGGTTACAGTGTGCTGCTGTATAGTCAGATTGTGTTGTAGAGACAGTTAGGCTACAGTGTGCTGCTGTGTAGTCAGAATGTGTTGTAGGGACAGTAAGGCTACAGTGTGCTGCTGTATAGTCAGATTGTGTTGTAGGGACAGTAAGGCTACAGTGTGCTGCTGTATAGTCAGATTGTGTTGTAGGGACAGTAAGGCTACAGTGTGCTGCTGTATAGTCAGAATGTGTTGTAGGGACAGTAAGGCTACAGTGTGCTGCTGTATAGTCAGAATGTGTTATAGGGACAGTAAGGCTACAGTGTGCTGCTGTATAGTCAGAATGTGTTGTAGGGACAGTAAGGCTACAGTGTGCTGCTGTATAGTCAGAATGTGTTGTAGGGACAGTTAGGCAACAGTGTGCTGCTGTATAGTCAGAATGTGTTGTAGGGACAGTAAGGCTACAGTGTGCTGCTGTATAGTCAGATTGTGTTATAGGGACAGTAAGGATACAGTGTGCTGCTGTATAGTCAGAATGTGTTGTAGGGACAGTAAGGCTACAGTGTGCTGCTGTATAGTCAGAATGTGTTGTAGGGACAGTAAGGCTACAGTATTCTGCTGTACGGCCAGATTGTGTTGTTGGAACAGAAAGGATACAGTATGCTGTTGTATCGCCAGATTGTGTTGTAGGGACAGTAAGGCTACAGTGTGCTACTGTATAGTCAGATTGTGTTGTAGGGACAGTTAGGCTACAGTGTGCTGTTGTATAGCTGGATTGTGTTGTAGGGACATAGTACGGCTTAGATTGTGTTGTAGAGACAGTAAGGCTACAGTATGCTGTTGTATCGTCAGATTGTGTTGTAGGGACAGTAAGGCTACAGCGTGCTACTGTACGACTAGATTGTGTTGTAGGGACAGTAAGGCTTCAGTGTGCTGTTGTACGGTTAGATTGTGTGAAAGATGCATCTTAAAGACTATCTTATGTTTCTAACGACAAATTAGAATTGTGTTTTTGGTTGAAGTGTTTTTCTTAGATATCTGAGTGACCAAATGGGCATTTGTTTCAATCAAAAGAAGAATATATTAAAAAAAGATTGCATAATCTGTAACAAAATATGTGTTTGGCACGAGACGAGAAGAGTTCCTTGGCAAAAATACATAGGTTCACTTCAATTCACGTTGTGAAATACGAGCATGGGCCTCCAACAACTGTAATTCACAGTCAACTTGTCAGGGAACTCAATCCCCGGACTTTTCATCCTTGTTCGATAATGACATCTCACTTAGTATATCACGCTCCAATCCTAGCTAATGCATCGTAGTCTTTATTTCCAAGATCCCAACAGGGGACGTAACTCTTCTGTACGTTCATTAAGGCGCGCACCCTTATATCCTTTCATTCTGTTTCATCTACACATACTTATTCTCATTAAGTTGTCATTCTTCTGGTAGTGCTCACAATTACAAGTACATTTATTTTGACATACTGGCACTGTATGTCTTGATTGATTTCGAGGAAAGGTTCAGGCTAAAGTTGAAATTTCATATCTTTATTGAGAGTAAAGACTATCCCTAAAATATTATGAAGTGACCTTAACTGTTGTTATCGGTTAATTATATGACAAGCAATATGATAACCAAGCATAAAGAATTGAGAAGAAGAACAATGACAGATTTTAACACCAATCCTGAATAAACTATCTTTAGTGAAACAATATTTGTTCAGTAAAATTTCATTCATGTTCTCATTTAAGATGTTACCGGATTCGAAGTCTACAACCATTCCCTCTAGATGGCAGCAATGTGTTGACATTACAAACGAAGCGTTTAGTTTGGCTGTTGCCCGTTTGTTTGTGGATAAGCATTTCGACGCTGCTTCTAAACTGGAGGTATTTTTATATCATATGCGAAAGATGAAAATCACATCATGCTAATAAATAGCGCATTTTATTTTGATTACGAATTTTAGATTAATCAAGTATATATATTTATCTCTGTATTATGCAATATTTTATTTGTCTATTAAACATTTTTAATCAACAGAAACAAAGAAATGTAATCATGTTTTATCGCAATAGATTGTTAATGTATGTATCGTTCTAAGGTTATGGATATGTTTACAAAAACAAAAATGTCGATGAGAAGCATGCTTCAACGAGAATCTTGGATGGATCAAGCCACTAAAACTGCTGCTTTAGATAAGGTAATTATTGTCAAATGTAATCAACACCTCGAGTCACAAGACTCCATTTGTTGTTTCGATATGTCAGAAAATAAACAAGTTTACACCATATAATAAACTGAAATCAATTTGAAACTTATCCTTAGAGCTTTTTCCGAGTGAAAAGTATTTTTGGAAATTGTATGAAACGATGACCTCATATAAGACATATATCGTTTGCTGTTAAACAGCTAGACTCTCTGCAAGCCAGGATAGGATATCCAGACGAGATAAGGGACGATTCCTTTCTGACTAAACGGTATAGCAGAGTAAGTCAATTAACACTCCTTACATTTCCATTTATCAGCGCGAAATACTTATTCTTTATCAGTTTCTCAAAATGTATTGCATAGTTACATTTTTTTTATTTGAAATTCGAAAAAAAAGAATATATGTTGATTTTTTTTCAACTTTAATTTATCTCCTCATTTTGACTTATCTTATTGATTAAGACTGATATTTGCTACGATTGTTATCTAATTCAGCCTTTTAATGCTGAATCGGTATGCACCTGCATGTATGATAATATATTTTAGATATGGAACATTCCTATTGTTACTTTATATTGACATAATTTGGATCAAAATCGCACTGAAAAGTATTTCAAAATGGAAAAAAATATTTTTCTTGCAGTGCAGAGTGACTCCGGGTTTGTTTTTCGAAAATATTCTTAACGTTATGAAGGACGAGGCGGCTTCCAACTTACGTGACCTGACTACGCCTAGTAATGTATTAGAGTAAGTAATGTATACACACACATATCTATATATACATGTATATATAAATATAGATACATAAGGTACTGGTTTATGTAATCCGCCATGCAACCTAAAACGTTTTGTGCTGAGATTAGCTAAATTTGGTTTAAAGAATTTAAGATATCTTATTATTGTACAAATCAAGTTAAAATGACACCTTGCGAAAATCTTTGTTTATTACCTATCAACACTCCGTTAATTAATTAACCATGCTATGGTAAACATTTCAGGGTAAAAAAGGCCAAGTGGTCTGGTGTATTGTATTTTGTGAAAAAATTGACCGCTTTATCATTTCATAAAATCAAACCAAGATATATTACACTCGTTTCATTGTATTTCTCCCAAAACAATTTAACTTATAATAATCATGAAATGATTAACATGACATTTAGCTGCAGAACACCGATATTCTTAATCCTGCTAGCTAATGTCTGTTACGATTATCGAGTAGTGTAATCGCGGACTTAATTTTATATGTTCTGAGTTTAATATTCTTGATGTCAGGTTTGAAACTCACTTTGTTATGTTATCTACAGTAATGTTCAATATATATAGGATTTGATGTCAAACCCTTATTTTATATTTATAGCTGGGAGTCACCACCGGCTGCTAAAGATGTCTTTTATGATCTCGATCAGAATGTTATAGGTAAAGTTATCATTTAAACACTGATTTTTATTGATATTCTGCGACATATCATTTATTTTAAGTGTTATTTTCTCGTCACTGCTGGAATTTTACCTTGTTCCATGCTAGTTTGTGCATGCAGTATTGACAGATAAAGAAGTATGCTTAACGTAAAAAATTATTGAAGTGCAGTTTTGGATTCTTTGGATACTAACTGATGCAAACTCAAAATCAATTATTTTGGTGAACTTTTTGTCCATGGAGATTGTTAAAATTAAAAAGAAAAAATATTTATATATGAACTTAAATGGTAGTTTTTGAAGATAATACGAAGGTGACATACATAACTATTCTTTTTTCAACTTTTTTTTTTGGATCACACCTGGAACGAACTTATGTTTCTAAAATGTCAGAGAATTTGCGGACCACGTCGGTGTTTACTACAGTATTCTGAGTGCTAGAAGCGTTTTTTAAAGGTCGTATATAAACACATGTATGCACGTAGAAAAAAAAAAAAAAAAAAAAAAAAATTTGGCTTATATGGTATTATTTGATATATATTATTTCATCGAATGTGTTTATAAAATTCAGTGGTGAGATATGAATAAATTATTTGTTTTCAGTGTTACCAGCTGGAATATTGCAGTCGCCTTATTTTCATAAGAACTATCCAAGGTATGAAACAGAAAAAAATACATTTCTAAGAAAAACAATGAAATATGTTGTTTCATGTCTTCAGTAACGATAGATTACAAAAATGATTACCTTTAAAACTTGTAAATAAATCATATTTATCGGAAGTCGAAGACACAAAATTATTTTTTCTTTCTTACTGTAGATATCTGAATTATGGAGCTATAGGTTTCATCATCGGACACAAGATCATTCACGCTTTTGACGATGTAGGTAAGTACCCAATAAAAGTGGTTAGGGTATATGTCAACTTATCAAGACATGAGATTGAAATTAGTGTTATAGTTTAAAAGAAAACTGAGATTAAGAAACATTGAAATCATTTAAATGAATTATAATGTACTTTTAACGAATGCAGTGGCGACACATGAAAACACCTTGAATTTGTAGCAATATAATAGATTAAAGCAGTCACTTATCGGCTTTGTAATGTCACGACTTCATTGTGCTCAACATAACTTGAACGTAAAATTCCTTATAATTAGAAGCTTTTATCTTTCCTATAGGAAGCAAATATAGTAAGACCGGTGCGTTCCAAGACTGGTGGTCTAACTATACCAGAACGGCGTACGAACAGAAGGCGAACTGCTTCATTAAACAGTATCATGGACGGACAGTTCCGGACGCATTGACAGCGTCGACCTTGCCAAAAGAAAGCAAGGTGAATTCCACTGTGTCTGATTCAGTAATGTTGATATTAACATAATCATTCTTATTGTTCTTAATCAATGTCGGTAAGATATGAAAACATTATCAAATAGATATATATCATAATAAATCTACTACTTTTTGACTGATTTTATTTTTTCACAGTTAAATGGGAAGTTGACATTGCTAGGAAACATTGCTGATAATGGCGGGCTAACTGAAAGCTTCTTGGTACGTGTTCGATGCAACTGCACTGCTTGATAAAATATTATTTAACCAACATGCCGTTCATATGCAAATGAGATGCGATTTGAAAAAATAATGAAAAATTGAAAATATGTCATAGCACTTTGTTTGTGAATTCGTAAGTTAAATTCAAGATATGTTTTCTTTCGTTGAATGGAAAGGTAAGAAGAATTCAAGAAAGCACACTTTTATCAAATCGTATGCCTTCAGAATGTATAATTTTAATTACTTGAAAATAATTATTTCGAAAATTTGAATTGTTTCCAACAATATAAATGAAATGAAATAATCTCCAATGTATAAATTAAATTGAATAATTTGCAAAGATCATATCTGACTTTCCTTTAAAGTTTCAATCTTGTAAACATACATATATTAATCATTTGATTGGAAAAGATCATTTACATACTTACGAACAAACGTTTCTTTGATGATTAGGCCTATACACAATGGTCTAGACAAAATGGATTTGAACAGAAACTTCCAGGAATCAACCTGGATCCTGATCAACTTTTTTTCATCAACTATGGACGTGTATGTATAATGTTTTGTTTCCGTATTAATCAATCATACATGAATCACTGAAAAATAGTAATAAAAAAAAAACAAAAACTAAAACAGGAAACAAAAAAAAAAACAAAAAAAAAAAAAAAAAAAAAAAAAAAAAAAAAAAAAAAAAAAACGAAAAAACAAAAAACAAGTCGTTTCTCTGTTTTTTATTGCCTTATAGTCAAACAATTGTAGTATTTCATTAAATCGTCATGGAATTTATTGTGTAATTTATATAGTTATTTAGATCTTTTCAATTGATGGTTTATTCATTTCGAAAAAAATATTACAACCGATGTAATTTTTTAATCAATTTAGCACTGTGTATCTTCACTCTTCAAAACTTCACAATATGCGTAATTCAGGTAACCATAGTTTCCATGTCTACCGTAGAAGTTTGATGTATTTTGATATTTTGATTTTTACGAATACATGGAGAGTGTAAATGCACAATAGGTCGAACCTTTACTCCATGCTGTGATCGAATGACGGAGATACAATGACAGTGTCAGTCGTTATTTCAGCAAGTTGTTAGACATGGTTTTACCTACCTTGAAGTCTAACGTAAATAAATCATTTGTATATAAGGTGTATGATACAACATTATCTTGATTTCAACCTCTCAAATATCTAATTCATAGACTCGGTGTGAAAAGACAACAACGGAAGAAGCGAAAAAGCGAATCAAGAATGATGCTTTCGCAGACGCAAAGAGCCGGTAAGCATTTAAATAGATCAAAATATAACGGTGGTTAAATCTGGAAGAAAGATTCACGTGGTAAATGAATTGCATTTATCAAATTATTAAGAACGATTGAATAAAACTTATGTAATTTATGATTTAAAATAATCTCGATAAGGCTGTTAAATATATTTTTCTTATTGCAGTGTAAATGTTGTTATGCAAAATAACCCGAGCTTTGCCAAAGCCTTCTCCTGTCCGGTGGGGTCACCAATGAATCCAGCGAAGAAATGCGCAGTCTGGTGATATCGGTCGCAATAAACAATCGGATTGTTATTTCTCACAATAGTTCATGCCCAATCATTAACCTACAGTATGATATTCCATTTGTTTTTTTCATTCGAATACTTTTTTTTTCTTCCAGATTCCAAAAAAGTATGTTCAACTATAAAAACGTATGCATTGTCCTTTGAAATGACAATTCTGATATCAGGAATGAGACTAGTTGATGTCAAACATTGTAAAATAACCATCGTGAAATTCTTTTGAACTCTTTTGCTCACTGTGTAACGCAGGCAACCTAAGAACCTATCTCAATGCTATTTGGATTATAAAGAGTGTTATAATTTGAAATTGATGATAGAAAATTATCCGATTGCATTGAAATGTGATATAACCGTTCATACCGATGTTACTTACAATATTGAAAGAAATGCTCAAATTATTTTTATGTAATCGTCAGCTCTTTTTTTCATTCAATGACATTTCTAAAGCCAAAAGATGTACAGGGTAAATATTTGATTTTATCGTCATTTTGTGAATATTGGGTTCTTTAAATGATTGTATTGTTGTCCATCGATAAATATGATTATATAATTGTTTAATGTATGTTCAAAATCAATGGCAAATGTTTTGTTCCTTTACATAATATAACACCTGCTGTTATACCTTCTCATCTCAATTTACAGTACGACTTAATATCTGGTAAAGATTGTACTTCCGTATACCACAATATCAAACCTTTGCTTACAGTCTTATGAAACCCGCCGTTCTAGTACTTATGTTAAACGATAAATTCACGTCACCATTGTCGAGTTCTTATCAACATAATTAAATATAACATTTTTTTGTATGAAGCCTATTTATTAATTTTATTTCATTAAAATGGCAAATTTCAAATACTCATTTTGGTGTTGTATAATAACTATATACAATTTTGTTTGAATGTTATTTCTTGTTATGTTTAGAAATAGCAATTTTGTCAACTTGAAGAACAGGTCTTGATATTAAAGTAACTATTTTTTATTGAAGAAAAAACCCATTTAAACTACAGTTCATTCAACATTTTTTCTTTGTAGGGTCAAATTGTCTTCTTTTGCTTCTGATCGTCTTATTTTACGATAAATAAAGATGTGATGATGATTAAGAATGTAACTCTCTTACAAATCTTTAATAATTTTTATTTTATCTTATTTGTTTTTCATTTTTATTCAGCAATTATACAACATCCATTCTAAATTTGAATGCATTTAGACATGACATGTCTATTTACACCAATAAGGTAGATTCAGTATACTTTTATATCTATGCGAGTTTGTAACAGAGTAAACCTTATCTGGAAGACTGATATCGGTTATGGGGGTATTGCCCTCTGCGTACATTTTAGCACGTTTCTTACAACCTCTAGAACGTGTCGAAACAACTTTAAAGTCATTATTGACAGACATTTTGAAATTGTACAATCATTCTTATAGTCATTAAGGACACATAAGGATGTCACGTGCTTCAATATAAAATAACAGATTTTCAGTCGTCAGTACATTGAAATATTGCAAAACGCTATTAGCAATATTACCATATTACTTTGTATATGTTTTATTTAAAAACGAATCTTACAGGCAAACATTGTTTTCACGTGTGTAAGGAAATAAAGCATTCGATAAAATGTCCTTAATACATTTCTTTGAGCATTTAATGAGGTTCATACAATTATGTTTCCTCATATATAAGTATACAAATTAGACATATATAGTACAGGCCTAACAAAATACAATGAATATCGATAGAATTGTTTGTATTATGTGCTTTCCCACTTGACGTAACAGTGTTAACTTACAACAGATCTTCATCAACGAGTTTTCAATTTTGATATATCTTAATGTTCTGGTTTTTAACTTCAAAAACATGCATTATGGTACTCATTTCTAACTTTGTATGCCCGGGGGTTTCGTTGACCTTGTTCCAATTTGAGAATGTGATATTACTTTTACTTGAATTGACCATGGCGGGTGTCGTCGATTAAGCAGAGGACGCTTACTCTTCCGGGACATCGGATCTTAATCTCCTGGTATTTTTTCTACTTGAATATCCATGTAATCCTTTCCTTTGTTCTTATTCTGTCCTAGATTCATCTAAGTTTGAATTAAGATTATGTTAACATCTCCTCCGTTGTATTAAGTTCTATGAGAAAGGTTCCAAATATGAAACGAAGAAAAAAAGGTACATTTGAAAATAAGAATAATTATGAAGCATTACGATTAAACTTTTGAACAATAGAAAAAATCCATGATCTGCACAATCAGGTTTAGTTGGATGCAGAGAAATATGATGAGAAAATGTTTATATCAAATGAAAATATGTCAGAATTTGACAAGTTTCACAGTAACGGAGACGTTTGAGGATGAACCATTAAATACGAACACATTGGAGATGTTTTATTTACTGGCCTACTATACGTAATGTATGATCCAGAGCTCTTCCGAAAAGACGTTTCTGTAATGTTGACATTGACGGGACTTGATTGGTACATCTTATGCATCAAAATGGAACAAAAGAGATTTATTTTATCCCTCAAATTTTACAGATATATCAATAAGGCAGGCGAGTAGATATCATTCGCTTGTTTTTATTCTATAAAGTGTATATGAGTGTCCTTAAAACAACTGTGGCCATTTATTGATGTCCTCCAGGTGTAAGCGTGATATTTGTTTGTGTCGAGCGCGTGTGTTTTCAGGAGACTGCGTTATGTTAATGTAAACTACCTTGTCATAATTGAGAATTGGGGCCGCCTACTTTATAGTGCCATCACACTGAAACATACTGCCCAAGTCATCCATTACATTATTTTCATTATCTCACGTTAATATATGATTCCACACGTATGATACAAAGAGCGGAACTGCCGATTTGAATAACAATGGAAACGTGTAGTACGCATTATCATATCATGATATGATCGCTACATAATGTAGCGATGCATTTAACGACAACCAGGTAAGATAACTTCATCATGTCTAAAAGACAAAATACTTTATCTGGCATCAAGATGTACAAAGAGATTCTGTGTAGTGTAGAAATGTGTCTGTAGATATCAATGCCTGAAGTCGCAAAGGTAAAGGCAACTGGGTGATTTTCATGTCAATGTTACACTTCAGTGATTTCCAAATCGCAAGCGTTGAGATATGGAAAAGAGTCTTTGGCATACTGATAAGATAAGTGAGATGGGCCAGGATATCTAAATTGTGGAGCAAAGATGGTGGTATATCACCTTCCCTTAAACACTTGAGTTTGTACAGATCACAACCAGCTGTGACAAGCATGTAAAGTATGGTCCATTGTCCAAATTCTATAGCAAGTTTCATGGGGTTAGTTGGTAGTCCCGACGGCCTTAGCTTTTCCTCATTGTGTACGTCACAACCCCAGTTTAGTAGCACCATCACAGAAGAGATATCACCTTTCGATACAGCCATGTGCAACGCTGCAACAAAGAAAATATAAAGCCCCGATTTACTGTTTGAGGACAATAACTGCAAGAAAATACCCCTTTTTAAAAAATCACCACGTAAATCAATAAAGATCTTCAACAAAATTTTCAATATAAAGACACTTTGTACATTTAAACCGTCAATGTCAAATGACAGAAAACATATTGAAACTTTACATAGTACTAATTAATACGCTGTAGCACCCGACCCCATGGCCAATATTAGGATACCTTTAAAAAAGATAAACATTTTTAGCCACAACCTTTTAAATACACTAATATATACATACTTCTCCTCACCAGTTAGGTTGCAATAATAATAATAATAATAATAATAATAATAATAATAATAAAACGTACATGTTTTTCCTGGTCGACATCCCTTTTCCAGGAAGTATTGCACTAAAACCGGACATGCGCATTGGGATGCAATGAACACTGGATTGCAATTGTCTGTAAGGTCAAGGTTCAAGTCCGCCCCAGCCAATAAAAGAATTTGTATGATAGACATTGTTTCGGAGTCGACTTGCTCTTTAGCGCTGACTTGTCCCCATATCAAGTTGGTTAGTGGGGTTCTCCCGTACACGTCCACGGTGTTAGGATCTGATCCTACATTCAAAAGTCTTCTGACAAGGGTGGAACGCTTTCCAACGGCAGCATACTAAATGATATGTAACAGAAACGCACTATATGAACGACATTCGTAAATTTTCAACCAAATGTTTAAGATCACGCCAACTGCTATGAACATTTTTTTCCAACTGTTCCTAAAATATACATATATATCCTCCTGTTAGATATTGATTCAGCATTATTATCAAAATAAAAGATATATCAAAACTTACCCAGTGTCACAAGACACTTTTGACAAATAGCTATCAGAAATAGTCAAAATAATTTCCACTGTGGACTCATACTGTTTTTATTTTTACAGAATATTTCCAATACATTGCTTCCGCTCTATATATTTCAGACTGGCCTGATTAAAAGATCTCTTCATTTCCCCTGTTTGGGCCAACTTAAATTTAAACAGAACAAAAGGCGAGGCATCAAAATATTCTAACTAACATCTCGGCTGTAAAAGTTTTCTTCATTACAACCTTCAATCAAATTCTACGCTACCAACAACAGAAAGTGATATTGTCCAATCTAAATTACTCTTACAGAGTACGTAGTAACGCAACTACGGGTTTATATTCAGAACCTCATTGCAAACTTCGTGAATCCGAGAGATCGTGAATGAATACGATATGTCACTTATCAGAGAAATAAAATCCGGAAATAATGAAACTAGATTATTTGGATCAACGAGTTTCTATCTGTTGTAAATCATGATGATATATATGATGGTTAATAAATTCTATCCGACCCCGTACCTGTAATGCTGTTCTGCTTCCACGAAACGACTTTTTATGGACATCTGCTGAGGCGTTCAACAGACTATCCAGCAGCATGTCTTCATGTTCATACTCTGATGAACATAACATCATTAGAGGTGTTAATCCGAATCTTTCCTGAACATTCGCATCTGCTCCGTAAGATATCAACAATTCTACTAGTTTTACATTCCCGGATTCAATGGCAAAATGTAACGCGGTTCTTCCTTTGTGATCCTGACATCTTACAACGCTCGGATCTCGTTGCAGCAGGAGTTCAGCGATGTTGTGATACTGAAGTGTCATACAGTACATGAGCGGGGTGAGTCCCCATTTATCCGGATGCTTTACCGCGGCACCGCGGTTTATCAATATCCTGGCACAAGTCTCTCGACCCTTCTCACAGCAAAGAGTCAGTGCAGGCTTGGAACTGATAAAAATCATACCGTGAAAAAACACGTGATTGACGTCGGCACCTTCATCAAGTAGACGAGTTAGCGTGTCAGGTTTGTCCTCCGCTATGGCATTGTACATGACAGCAGTGTAGTCGCGATCATCTAGTCGTCTCCGGCGACGCCTGGCAAATATATCCTTTGCCATCAAATTAAAGCGATATCTTTGTCGTTTTCAGTACACCTGTGTCAGAAAACATATCATATCCTTAAGTGTAAAACTAAACAACACAAACGTGGAAAATGAAACCCTCTAAAAGTGCTTTTCATTTTTGTGATTTTTTCGTACTAGCTTTACAAAGATAAGCGTTTTAAGAGCCTTTGTAGCAGATTAAATGGATAGATTTTGCTCTACATATTCGCGAAAGTTAGTTCATAGTCAAATAAAGCAATGTATTCGAGTTAAACATATATCATTGATGGGTCCGCTTATTTCATTAGGGGTGAAGCCGACAATGAGATACTGCTGACCTAACCCGCGATTAATCGACTTTAAAAGTTTTTTAAAAACCAACAAAATTGAATAGCACTTAAGAATTAGAAATCAAACAGAATAAAAAAACATTTGGGTAATACTGTGCACAATTTTACCTTAAAAATAAGATTATTTGGGCTTTAAAATTTCTCGGTAGACCTATATGACATTTCAAACGGATATGCGTCCGCAAAACTATTCGTTACGGATGCATGCTATATATGTATGGCGTTACTTTTCTTCAAATGGCGCCTTTATGAACACTGTTCAGAAACACATCACCTATGAGTAGCGAATTAAAGATGTTGTCTTATATGATAATTACTGTTTCATAGGATTTAAAATATAGAAGTAAAGGCAGCATTTTAATACAAAAATAGAACTCAAATATAATTAAATAAATAAGGACACTAATCCTATTTTTTCTATAACTTTTAATGTTTTGAATGAAAAAAATTATTTTATGCCTTTTGAAAGTTTGATAATTAAGGCATATTTAAGAATACGTGTATCGTTGTTTATTGTAGATTTAATAATTACTTTACTTATACACGAATTAAAAATTAAGATTATGTTGCAAAATACTATCGTTCATCTTATATAGGTAACAATATACTGTATATGATATGTTGAATTACATAACGAGAATACTGACTCATATACATAGTATCGAGGAGATAGCTATACCGTCATATAATTCCGTTTATTGCCCCTTTCTTCCTTGAATGTCTATAATGTATCGTTCGAGGGCTTTATGGAGATCTTCGATTTATTTACCGGTCATTTAGACGTGAAACAATATTACAATTGTATTAGCATGTGATTGGTATTTTAAGTGTGTTTATGTTACTGCGTCAGAGGAATTTGATATACTTGATACCTGCAAGGTATAACTATTCTCATGACCAAGAACAGCTGTAGAAATTGGTATCAGGATGCTTATAAGTAATTTTGAGATTGACAGACCCATTATCAAAACAGTATCACGGATAATTTTAGACGCTGACGAATATGAAGGATGCCCGCTGCAAGCAACAGCATGCAAACAACACTATACTTACGTGACGGACAGAACTACTGGATGGTAGGTGGAGAAGACAAAGATAGTGTGGTAGCTAAATACAGATTCCCTCTAGAACTACACATACGCATCTGTCGAAACGCGTGCAGTGATAGCATTATGATGGAATTAACGCCATCTGCTTTCCCTATGCCTATTTCTGTGTAGTATGGGAAAGCTGTGGAGTGTGATGATTCGGTGTAGATATAGGAAATGAATACACATGAAAACTACTCGCTGTTTTCTGTGATCAACGTGAATGTGCGATTTATAGTTTAACTACGGTTTCCAGCGCACGTGAGAGATATCAGGTGCCATGATTATCGGAGCCTCTCGGTTGTTACTACGTTCAGAGGAAAGCCTGCCACTTCAAAGAGATTAAGTACGTAATGAAATATTATCCTGTAAAGTGTGACAATACTATTATTGTTAACACAGTTGTTTGTGATCTTACAATTTCGAAATGTTACAATATACTGTGTACACGTGCATATGCACGAGTTTGAATGACATGCTGGTTTGTAATGCTTTCTCATACGGTAGCCCGTATGTGCCAATAGATGTTGTCATTGTTATACAATATGTATTGATCGTTTTACAAATTGTGCTATGTTCAACCACCTTGTTATTAAAATGTAGCAAGCACGTGTTTATATTAATTATGTCACAAACCCAATAAAGGAATCGAGGAATGCTTTTATCACATAACGTATCGAAACAAATTCTTAATTAGACTAGTGTGTCTGACACAGGTTACTTTAAGATGTACCTTGCTTACGATCGATTAAGCTAGTATTTTGAAAAAAATACTAAATAAATGGGGGACGTAAGACGAGCTTTCATTCATATAAAATTTATTAACTGAATCTTAAGTTTCATTTTTTATTCTACCGAACCTCTGGCAAGATAAAGTAAAAACAAAATCGTGACCAGTTTCATAAATCTAATATGGATGGAAGCGAATGTAAGATCCTGTTTATCACATAACCCGGACACGTTTGCAAGCATTCGTGAAAGTAACATTATATTTCACTGAAGCAAAATTTGAAATGTCAATATTATAACTCTATCTATTTCTGAATATTGGAAACGATACATGAATGAAAGTAGACCAACAATATTTGGGCATATCTTGTGTTGTGACTCAAATGGAAAAGATAATGCAGAATCCCAAACATTCAAGCAGTCTTCAAGTCAATAAATTTTTTTTTTAAACTCAAAGATGTTTCAACAAGCATTCCTAATTTTCATTTGTTATAAAAACGTGTTTATCTGAGGATTTTGAATGTATGCATTAACCACTCTATACTAGAGCTAACGAACTGACTTACGTATTGGTTTGTTACAGATAAGATATGACGTAAACCTAATACAACCTCTGACGTCACAAGATGTCGGTTTAATATGAAGATGAATCTCGTATGGCGCTTCGACTGTATCATGCGGTAGAAGAAAACAACATGAAGACACTTCGACTGCTTCTCATCAAAGGAGCAGACGTTCATTACAAATATTTCGATGACAAATCACTTCTACACATTTGTTGTGAGAAGGATCGTTTGGAATGTGCTAAACTTTTGATGGAATTCGGAGCAAATATTCAGGCAACAGACGAATGGAACATGACACCCTTAATGTACTGCATGGTTAGGCATTTTTCTGATATTGCAAAAGAATTGTTGTCACGAGATCCGCATGCTGTCAACTCGCAAGACAGATTTGGAAAGTCAGTTATTCATAGCGCTGTAGAATCTGGGTCAGTGGAACTCTTGAATCTTGTGTTAAAATATGGTGCGGACGTCAACCAGACAGACTGGTACGGGATCACGCCACTCATGACCCTTTGCGCAGGTAGTGGAATCAGACATTCCAAGGAAATGTGTCGTGTACTTCTCGATGCAGGTGCAGACGTAGATTTGAAGGACGTCCGAAGCAAAAGAACCGCTTTACAGGTATAAATATCTAGTCACATAATTACATAATTTCCCTGTGGTTTTAACCGCTGTTAAGTATGACCCGGATGTAAGGCGTTTTACACAACGTAACGCACGAAACTTGAGCATGCATGTTCTTTAAAACGAGGAAACATTTCTCGCAGATTTATTTTCGACAATTTCGCCCATTGAAACTATAACGACGACAGAAGCATTACGTTAAAACTGAAAAAATATGTCAATATGCTTTCTGTGTTAATGGGCGAAAACGATTATCTTTACGAGAGGGCGAAATAACCCTCGGCGAACCTTGTATGAATATTGGGGTTTTAATCTTCCCAATGAAAATCTTATCCATTGTGATACTGTTCTTAATTTTCGATGCGGTGAAATATATTTTGATTCTCTTGCAAACTTTCTCAAATTCCCATCTATATAAATTTAAAAACATCTCAATGTTTTACTTTTTCGTATCTTCATAGTTTTTAATGTCATATATTATTTTCTATAGTTTGCAGCGGTTCAGAAGAACAGTGACCTTGTCCAGGTATTGGTCGCCGCCGGCGCCGACCCCAACACTACAGACAACGCAAGCCTGACGCCACTGACCAGTGTCATATTCCAGTTTTATCGGCTCAAGAACTCAAGCTGTGATGTCTGTGATGATCTGATGACAATTGTGATAATATTGACACAGGCCGGAGCAAACCTGAATCTCAACACTCGCGAGAACTCAAATCCGTTGTTTATGGCTGTGACGTTTAAAGTTGAACCCCTTCTAAGGTTTTTCCTCGACTGCGGAGCTAATCCAAATGTCGTATGTAGGTAGCAACTTTCATATCATATCCTTATTTTCTCATTATTTCTAATAACGAGGCAACAAATTATTCGTATTTGTTAATTTTTTAAGGAACACCCCCGGAATCGTCACATACATACCGTCATATAGAAAAAAATGATTTTTTTCAACGCTTCTAACGATGATCTTTTACAGACTCGTTCTGTAGTGAGCTCATCCAAAATTCTCTAAAAATTCTCAAAAAATATCTATGAGTGCAACACTTATGACTTATGAAAGTTGTTGATCGTTCCGAAATGATACATTATAATTCCGGAAGTGACGTGTGCTATCAATATACCGTTACCGTTGTTAGAGAATGGAGTATTAGTCACATATACAGAATAACAAAGATATAAAGTTGAGAAATTCTTTTCCTTCCATACGTTTAATGTATATTGTTTATCGTACATCCCTCCTCAGAATCTTCTTCCATCCAAAAGATCTGGTTCATTAAAGATTCAAATTCATATTTACAAATTTTCTTAAATCGGATTCTCATTTGGCAATATTTGGATCAAAATCCTAACACATGTTCGGAATAATTACGATATGTACACATATACTGTGAAACGCAAATATTTTGGCTTAATAATAAAGTTCATCATAGAAAAAATATGACAATGAACTGATATATTCATCGTTTGATCGGAAAGAATGCTAGTTTGAGTACATTGAACACCAAAGTTCATAACCTGAAGACAAAACTCCTAACTTATTAGCAATAATCCATAGTTTTGTTAAATAGTACTGTTCAGGTCACTCGCATGTGTTAATGTTCCTTCGATGGCTAATGCAAGTGAATTTAGAATTTGAAATATTTCTTTTTTAGACTACTAGAAAAAAAATCTATTCTACGTCAGACGTCTTTTTGTATTTTTTCCAGTTCCAATGGGCGTGACGCCACTGCTGTCGGCAGTGAAGAAAAGGGATGTTGGGTGTGTCCGTGCACTTCTAAACTGGAGAGCGCGTGCGGACATTCGTGGACGTGTGTTTAGAACAGCGCACGTGCATGACCAGTACTGGGTGGATGCTATGGAACTTGCCGTGGACCAAGGATGCTGGGATATTGTGTTAGTTTTGTATTCTGCTGGGTATAACATCAGCAGACTTCCCTATCTCCGAGAGGGCGTACCCGATTCTGAAATTCCTGAGTCTCTGTCACGAGATAAAGACATGCTCAGTTACCTACAGTACTTGGCAAGTAATCCAAGGACTCTCTTTCAATTGGCTACCCTGTGTATGTGGGACAGTGTGAAAAGCAATATACAAGAAAACATTAAACAACTTCCGCTTCCGACCAGAATAAAACAACTCACCTCTCCAGAGTTCGTTCTTGGGTGACTTTTTAAAAATATTTGTTAACATGATGTTTCGTTCGCTTTCCCTATATCCACGTGCTCCGTTCTCATGCAGAATTGAAACTGAGGTGGAATAACACCGAGTTTTAGTTACTGAATCATACACCATTTTGCCAATTTAACCAAAAATTGATTTGATTATTTTAACCTATACCGTCGGATTTACATGTATCATACGGATACCAAAATGTGTCAAGTGACATTTATGATGAGACATAAATGCAACAGAGGCAAAATTGAAGACGACAGCTCATGTTTATGTGTTATACTCTGTCATCATCAAATACCAAACAGTATAAGCAAATTAATTTCCTTGAATGATTTATGCCTATTTTGCTATTTTTGTATTTTATTCCTGTCATTGAAAGACAAATGGTACTTATATATAAAGCATGAAAATGTATATACAAAGCAATCTTGTCTTGTTATTGAAAACATCTTTCGTTCTTTAGCGAATTTCAATTTTAATACATTGACTGGAAAACTTTGTCAAGAAATTTCCTGATATAAAGTTCAACGCTTAAGACCCGAGGCGGTTTTTGTATTAGTTTAATCTTAATAACAAATTGCACAATTTCATATCGGTGTCCGCAGATGATGTACCCGGTAACACTGTGATCTATCTTTCCCATGTTACAATCTGGACAAACAAGAAAATATGACACTCCACACGTTCATATCATACTGTCATCGAATCAACATGTTCATTCCATTTAATGAAAACTTCACGTTGATCAGACAACAACGAGACTGAAGAGGCGGAAGATCAATAATGCGGCCAAAAGGGAGGTGTTTTTTAAGAGGCATTTAAGAATTTTTTAGAAGAGACAAACTTAGATATTGATTGCCTGTACGGATATTGGGATTGAGAAAGCAGATGTCTTACTCCTTGCCTGTCGACATAACGGATTACCTTTTTGTTCTGAAAACAATAAGAAAGTGAATGAAAAAGCAGAAACATTATTATAATTTAGCCCAAATTACGAATTGATAACGTAATTTTAAAGTTATATGACATATAAATATTAGGAAATCAATTACATTAATGGACAAATACGCTTTTTTTTTTTAGATTTTGACTTTTATTTCAATCATTTTGACTATCCTGAGTCGCCTCACACGCTTCAATTTTTGGGAGATGGGCATCACTGACGAGTCGTAGAAGAACTGTATAATGCAGTTTAATTCATTGTTTAGCGGTGTTGTGTCTAATATTACTCTAAATTTGTATGACAATCTGCTATTCACTGGTGTGTCTTTTTGTACAATCCACAGACAATTGTACTAGTTGTGGTATTCATGTATGTGCCGTTCTGTCAAGTTTACTTCAAAGATATCCTTGAAGCGGATGAGAAAAATTAATATTTCCATAACCACAAAATTAAGCGTACATAAAAAAGCAATACCCGTAGTTGAATTGATGAACTCATATTTTTTTCCAATAAACTCCTCAATGTATGTATTCCTTCCTTGCAAAATGATAATATCGCATTTGTTAACAGAAACAAAATAAAAACAAAAACTCGTATCCAAAAGTTTACTTTATTATCATATTTTATTATTAAATGAAATAAAACATGCGTCATGAGAGTCAGATTTCTTGTAAAATGAATCCCGAAAATCAATAATTTCATTTCTTTAAATATCAGTAAAAGTTTCTTACAGACACTTATAACACATAATTATGTGGTATATTATCAATCACAGGTCAATTAGTGCATGGTTTAGCCAAAACTGATGAAACAGCTCATCAAATCCAACACAATAAACAATTAAAGAGACATATTTGATGAAAATGAGTATATTGTTTTATAAGCATAAATGTGTTGTCAAACGTATTGTACGATTCAGGTGAGGGTGCGTCACTTTAATAGAACGAACTGTGCGTTCATAACAAATGTCATTTTGTAATCATATGTCGTTTTGTACTTCAGTTGTATCAAAATAAAGCTGATGTGTAAGTGTGGAGTTTCAAAGTAGAGAACTTATAAAAGCAATCTGTTGAAACCTGTCAGTGATCTTGTCAGTAGCTCTTTAATGATACATCATCTGTATTTGTGTATTCATGTCGAGATATGTCATAAAGGCATAGTTTTCATGGAAACCATGCTGCATTACATATATCGATAACTGGGTTAAAGGTGGTGCAAATTATAGACATTAATACAATGGGTGTTTTTAGGCTCGCAAACTCCAACATGAACTTATCTTCCATTAGCTTTCATGTTTGTTCCGTTGTTGTATGATCTTGTGTTCTCATTCGAGATGTCATTGATGAAGCAGAAGACGCTTACTCTTCCTAAATGCCTGGTCTTATTCTCCTTGTGCGTCTTCAGAAGTTTCCGTATAAATCTTTCTTTTGTTCATATTTTGCCCTAGGTTTATTGAATATAAGTTTGGATTATGATTGTGTTGACATGTTAGTATTTTCTTGTTCTTTTTTAAATCATATTTTTTTTCATATATCAATATTGTTTGATTATAAACTCTTGTATAAACACATTAACTCTCCTCTACCTGAATTTTATATGTATTGTCACAATGATGTTCAAACAATAGCATACACACAAACTTTATGATGTATTTTTATGTTTAAATTTCACGTACATTCCATAGTCAAACTACGACCACTTATGTCAAACAATACATATTTTTTCTGAACACGTAAGGCGACCACTAGCACTGTGTTTGAGTGTTTGAAAAACTAGTGAGACTGAGGAAGGCAACTCCTGGTGATGATAAAATATCAACTAGTGCTGTTAGAAAACCATGGTTTATCTCTCTTCTCCCCAATCATCATCGCCCTATTTCCTCAGACTGGTATGTACACAGTGACAATTGGTTTGAAAAGTCGTATCCATGTTATGAGTTATTCTTCAACCAATAACAAAATCAGGATTCATCAGTTGTTTTATCGTCTTTGGAAGAGGGAGATCAGAAATCTTTTCTCTAAAATTTCTGTCCAAAATTCGCCACAAAGACAATACCGTCAAATGAAAGAGTGGTTTTGGTGAGCTTGCGAGAAACAACAACCAGCTCATCATTTCAGTATTCCCTAAAAGCGATTCAGGAAGTTCTGAGTCCATGGCACCTTCGTGAAGATAAGGCAATCTACTGATGTTGTAGCCAGCTGAATACAGGAGCGGGACAATGTCCCAGCATCCTAAGTCCACTGCTAGTTCCATTGGGTCCACCCAATACTGGGTGTCCGCTGTCCGGTACACTCTTCCACGGATGTCCGTCCGGGCGTTCCACTGTAGTAAGGCACGGACACATCCTGCATCTCCCTTTTTAACAGCTACCAATAATGACGTCACATCCAGCGGAACTAGAAGAAGAAACATACACGAAGGCCGTAAACGTATGTATTGTCGCGATAGCAGGACTAAGAAAGATCTTACCACAATATGTATGGTGCTCTGGATAGCACGTTGTACAGAACTATTAATATTCAAGAATACAGCTACAAGGCACCTTGCGTAACAAAACATTTTTGAAATTTGCACGGAAAGATATAAAGAAATTTTGTTGCTAATATTAAATAACAAGTCCACTTGATTTAATATATTTTGACCATAAAGTCTAGTATGGTTTCAAAAGATTAGGGTTGATGAAAATTATCAGGAAGTTTTAAGATCGTCATAGTGATCTAATTAAGAAATAACATATTTCTTTTTTGCGATATGAAGCTGAACGAGTTTGATGCCCCTTAGTTTGCCAGCTGGTTCCGTTTGTTATGTACCTTGTTCTCATTTGAAAATAACATTACTTACTTGGATTAAAATTTACACGGCGAGTATCTTCGATGAAGCAAAATACGGTTACTCTTCCGGAACACCTAATCTTATTCTCTTGATTTTTTCTTTTTTCATATTTTGCCACAAGTAATGTTTTATGTAAGTTTGAATTATGAATAAGTTGACAAGTTGGTATTTCTTTTTTTAAAGACAAACCAGAAAATCCTTCAAGATAGAGGTCGATAGATCATTGAAAAGGAGACCCAAAGTCGGCTATACTTACATCTGATATTAGGGTCAGCGCCACAATCCATAAAGAAACGGATTAAAGCCTCTACTCTGTACGCTGCTGCCATACACACTGGGTTCGCATTTTCGCGATGATTCATGTTGAGATCAGCTCCAGATTGTGTTAGCATGATGACGATGGTCATGAGGTCATCATCTACGTCACAGCTGGCGTTCTGAAGGCGGAAGGACTGGAATATGAGGTTAGTGAGAGGAGTTCGGGAGGCCGTGTCTTGGGTATTTGGGTCTGCCCCCGCTTGAAGTAACACTTCCACGAGAGATGGTAGCTTATTGAAGGCGGCAAACTGCAAAAACAGGACAACACTTCATGTTTTAGAGACAGTTCTAACTGATTGGATTGTGATATATATTCACTTCATGAAAGACTTAGCTGCTCTTATCTTACTAAATAAAGAAATATATCTATAAAGTTCAGTGCTCATGAAGCATAACTTATCTAGAAGACTTTTTTCACAAATAACACCAAACAAAAACTTGAAGTCACACTCACCAGATGATGATATTAAAACGTGTAATTATGGGAGTAACATTTTAAAAAGAATCTTGAACTTTCTGTAAATAATTAACATTTTCCAATGAGCAATGCATATTCTTACCGATATTGAAATACTCCAAGTGAAAATCGTGATCACTAGTATTATAATATTCTATCATAGGCATTAAATGGAATATATTTTATCAAACATATGATACGCTTAGGAACAAAGATGGAAAAATTTTACATACAAGGATATATTTATAAATTAAACGTATACTTTTACTTATCCATCTATAGGTACGATATAAGGAACCTTACCTGTAAAGCTGTTCTTCGGCTTCTCAGATCCTTCAAATTAACGTCTGCACCGGCTTCTAAAAGCATTTCACATAGCGCCACACTATTACTGATTCCAGGTCGCGAGCACACTGACATCAGAGGTGTAATTCCAAACCAGTCGGTTTGATCGGCTGAGGCGCCATAAGACAACAAAAGACTCAAGAGTTCCAGTGAACCAGATTCAACTGCACTGTGAATTGAAGCCTTGCCAAATCTGTCTTGTGATTGGACAGCGGCGGGATCACGTGACAAGAGTTCTTCAGCGATGTCATTTAACTGACGAACCATACAGTACATAAGCGGTGTCATATTCCATTCGTCCTGAGCTTGGACGTTGGCGCCATATTCTATCAAAATCTTTGCGCATTCCAGTCGATCTTTTTCACAGCAAATGTGCAACAAGGATTTTTCTCCAAAATATTTGTAATGAACGTCAGCTCCAGATTTAAGAAGTTGTGTAAGCTCGCCTCGTTCGTCCTCTTCAAGCGCATGATATAACCTTAGGGCGACATCGGACGGATTGCTGGGATCACTTGACATTGTGTAAAGAAAGGTCCATGTCAGGATATCAACATCACTTTTAAATTCTTCAACTTTAATTTCCTAAAAAAATGAAGATCGAGAAAATCGAAAAGTGGGATAGCATCAAATGGAACTATGGGACACGTTAATATCAGTGACACCAGTATCTTTATCCTAGTAAAACGCTCGAAATGACTTGAAATACAATTATATAAGTCTTTAGCTTACTAAAATGCTCTTTAACTCAACAAAGGAGTACGACCAACAATCTGCGCAGTTTCTTCTTCACACTAGAAACAATTCGGTGTACCAAACATTGCATACACACGTGTAGGTGTTATTCAGTCATGGACATCTAAAAATAGAACGTCTAAGCAGACACAATATTGTTTTAAAAACTGATTCAATAGTTACTGGTTTATCCGGAACAGTAACAGATTGGCATATTCGATAGATAACAAATCGATATAGACATTTTAATAGGTTTAAGTAATACTGTATATACTTACCGTTAGCCGTACTCCAGTGTAGATTCTATAAATATAACATACACGTACGTTTTGTTCACACACTAGCACGCGCTATAGGACTGCCATATTTACTCGACAAAACAAAACAACAACAAGACAGGGTATTATTGGCACTAAGTATCATGTATTTACTCAACGTAACGTTCATCGTATTTATTGTACATAAAAAAAACAAAAACGTACATCATACTTATTATATGTGCAACGTAATTGCTGTACACAAAAACGAAAAGGGACGTCATACTTACTGTTGATATACCGTATTTACTCTACACATACGTCATACTTACTGTTTATATACCGTAATTACTGTACACAAACACATACGTCATACTTACTGTTGATATACCGTATTTACTCTACACACACACATACGTCATACTAACTGTTGATATACCGTATTTACTGTACACAAACACATACGTCATACTTACTGTTGATATACCGTATTTACTGTACACATACGTCATACTTACTGTTGATATACCGTATTTACTGTACACAAACACATACGTCATACTTACTGTTGATATACCGTATTTACTGTACACAAACACATACGTCATACTTACTGTTGATATACCGTATTTACTGTACACATACGTCATACTTACTGTTGATATACCGTATTTACTGTACACAAACACATACGTCATACTAACTGTTGATATACCGTATTTACTTTACATAATCACATACGTCATACTTACTGTTGATATACCGTATTTACTGTACACAAACACACATACGTCATACTTACTGTTTATATACCGTATTTACTGTACAGATATACCGTATTTACTGTACACAAACATATATGTCATACTTACTGTTGATATACCGTATTTACTGTACACAACACATACGTCATACTTACTGTTGATATACCGTATTTACTGTACACAAACACATACGTCATACTTTCTGTTGATATACCGTATTTACTGTACACAAACACATACGTCATACTTACTGTTGATATACCATATTTACTGTACACACACACATACGTCATACTGACTGTTGATATACCGTATTTACTGTACACACACACATACGTCATACTTACTGTTGATATACCGTATTTACTGTACACATACGCCATACTTACTGTTGATATACCGTATTTACTGTACATAATCACATACGTCATACTTACTGTTGATATACCGTAATTACTGTACACAAACACATACGTCATACTTACTGTTGATATACCGTATTTACTCTACACACACACATACGTCATACTTACTGTTGATATACCGTATTTACTGTACACACACACATACGTCATACTTACTGTTGATATACCGTATTTATTTTACATAATCACATACGTCATACTTACTGTTGATATACCATATTTACTGTACACAAACACACATACGTCATACTAACTGTTGATATACCGTATTTACTTTACATAATCACATACGTCATACTTACTGTTGATATACCGTATTTACTGTACACAACACATACGTCATACTTACTGTTGATATACCGTATTTACTGTACACAAACACACATACGTCATACTAACTGTTGATATACCGTATTTACTTTACATAATCACATACGTCATACTTACTGTTATATATTATGAATCAATCTTTTATGATTACGCTTACGATTGGCATGTCTAGTAAAATGCTTTGCCAATCTGGCGCTTAACAATTCACAAGGATACAGATGTATGCTTTGGCCATCTTAACACATTTTAACAGTAATTGGATATGCGTAAAATCATAATTAGGATTAGAGGAACTCGAGTGCCAATTGCAGGGCGTTCACTTCCCTACATCCAAGCAACGAAATAGACAGTCAATCTAGCCTTATATTTTCATGACCATTTTAAATTTTCATAACCATTTTATATTTTCATAACCATTTTATATTTTCATAACCATTTTAAATTTTCATAACTATTTTATATTTTCATAATCATTTCGAAAATCCAGTTAACTGGATGCTCTATCCTTTGACCCTGCAGTAAATCTAATGCAACTTGTTACGTTGTTGAATTTATTGTAAATGTGTACACACATACGTAACAGCTGACAATTAGCTTTATTTGTCACTAGAGTTCAAAATTATTGTTCCAAATGCGATGAACTTATGATAAATATAGATACACTAAAACCGGGCAATTATAACATTTCGGTTTCATTTACAATGAATAGGAAATGTTAATTTTACAGTGAATACTTTCCGGAAATCCTTTTTTAGATTGGGTTTATTATTACACAGCAGTGACAACACCACGAGTTTGTGATTGGGTCAAACCTCAAGCGAGACCCTTTAGCTTTTTAGAACTGAAAACATTGACAAACAAAGACTTTAACGTATCTGAAGACTTCAACAATGTGATGAGAAAGCTGACACGAAAGCTGGTGGGAGTTAGTGTTTGGGGAGTTTCCATTCACTGACGCAGGGCGCCGGTCCGATCGAAGCGTGATAAATAAATGGGACACACGCCATTCTCTGCACTCGATACATCGGTCAAGCCTGGACAAATTATGACATGTGAAATTCTGAGGATATGTGATATTTATCTGACCACTTACAGACATCATTTAGTATCGTGTTAATGGAATCTCGACAAACAAAACAGATCCCATTTCGCATTAAATCTGAAACCATACTTACTATTAACACGCGAAAGTTATCGAGTATTTGATAATCTTATTTTGGGCGTGGTGATAATTACAGTAATGTCAATGTTAGTTTGATCATGTGTTTTTAACCTTCCTGAATTATGCTGATATTTTTTCAATGAAATACAAAGCAGCTGTTTTCTCGTAAACAAATGGACACTACAAATGTACGGCAAGAATAATTAAAGATGCATCCTTTGGTATTTTTTTATATAAATTACAGCACCCACTTCTTTAATAAAAAATAAAATGATGCAATTATATGTTATATGTTATCTACCACACCACTGTTATATGTTATCTACCACACCACTGTTATATGTTATCTACCACACCACTGTTATATGATATCTACCACACCACTGTTATATGTTATCAACCACACCACTGTTATATGTTATCTACCACGATAATCTTAAGCTATCTACCAAATAACAATGAAATGAACCTTGTGTCATGTGGACGCATTTGTTATCACTAAAAAACATCAGGTCGGGATTTTTCTTTACTGCAGAATTTAGTCAGTTGACCAATCTTAATGGAGTTATCTCCCTTTGCTAAACTTTGTCTTAGCTGTTGTTGGTCATTTTCTAAAGGGATGTATACATACATACATACAGACATAAAAATATTGATAAATGTCTACCTTTGTCCAATTATGTTTTATTACATATATATGTATTTGTATATGAAATATAATCACCGATATAAAACCTGTTTCATTGAAGTCGTACACAGGATATTTCTGTCAATGGTGAAGTTTTATTCAAACATATGACATAAAGTCTATGTCCGAATATGATATGCAATGCAGTGATATTTACCGGAACTTTAGCCATATAAGTGTTTAATTTCTATGGGTAAGATAATTTGTTATCGTCTTGACTTACACTATTTTTTATAAATATGGGCTGGTGGTTTCGAACGTCTTTGATTACTACCAAATGATGTAGTAAGATTGAGCTTACTTTCAAAGGTTCAAAATAAGTCGATACCCCAGTAACCAGAAGCTTTAGCTCAGGAAATCAGGGATGTTTGAAGAAAACACGATATCATCTTTATGCAATGCAAAAAAGTATATAGGCAAAATATATTACACCGATCACAACCCTTGATCATTACAAATAGCAGCAGCCACGGTTATAGACACCGCGCACCTGTTAATTGAATTTTATCGGTTGAGATGTTAAAATGATTAGTGCAAGCGATTAATCACACACTCTTAAAACGTATCCTGTTTTGTCTCCGTTTGTTTTGTCTTCAACTTTTTACCTTTTTAACCTGTCTAAATAAGACTTGTGATAAACAGTATTTCAAGTTTGTCGTCTGGTTCCATTTGATTTGAGATTTTATGAAATACGCCCCGAGGTTTTAATTCAAAAACGGAAAACAGAAGGACATACTTCTTTTTTTTTTTTTTTTTATAAATTTCCAACCTATACCTACATGTAAAATATTATTATGCTAATGCTGGTGCCTGGAGGTAATAAAAAAGCATGGGAAAAGAGAGGAATTTACGCCTCACTCCAATATAACGTCTTTGTTGTGCTGTCGTAGCTGGGGTTACATCTTTACAATCAATCTATTTAATTCATTGGCATAGCCCTGTGCTTGACATTAAATCCCGTCTGGAAATGTGTAAAACATTCTCCATGAATAGTCAAATAATACTCGAATTACATTTGTTGATAAAAAAATATTTTTCACAAAATAACGCAAGCCGTGTTTACTTCAGCTTGGATCGCGAACAGGTTCTGAATAGAATAAGATATGAGGGAAGCTATGTAACGGAAACGTATTTAAAATTAAAGTTTATTTACGAATTCCATAGCTATATTACACAATATGAAACCCTTTGAAATTTAAAAGGGTGATTTATTTAAATAAAACTGAATGGAATAGCTGACCAACTTATAATCGGTAAAAGCTCGTTGGATATTTTCCGTTTTCTGTAACTGACCAAACGAAATGTTTTGGTTAACATTTGTTTAGCACATGTAAGTGCAATATCTAGTTTATACAAATATACATATAAGGATACCATACATCGGAGATAAGGTAAACGACGGATCCTTTTCCAACGTCATCACACTTAAATATCATAAGTTTGATATGGTAGCACTTAATCCCTTTCTCTCTGATTATACCAACAAATAGTCCTTAAAATTTGAAACAAGCATTAGTAATTCTGTAGAGATCAAACAATTGTATTTCGGAGTTTTGATTTAATATATTTTCAATAGACGCTTTATTGGTAAAGGTATGTAACAGGAACAATTCAAAACATTGCCTCACGCAGCAGGACTTGCATTCAACAAACATTCTCCACGCTGTCACCAATCAGTTCTACAGCTATTATGATATAACACATCTACCACACATA